CATGCAACTTACTTCTCCCTAACCATCCCCAAAAGCTGCCTCTGATGTTATGCATGCCATTCCCAGCCCAGCCTCGGTGGGGTGGCTGGGCACCTTGCCTGTTTCTTAGCACTTACATTCATGCTTTATCATTGCAGTCTTTCTTACTTACGGTAAACAGCGTCTGAAATAGCCGGCACCACCCACAGCCGGGGACAGGCGCTGGGACTCCGTGTGCGCAGCCGATGGCATTCGGCACTCCCGCGACTCTCGCCGAGGTCAGGACAAAGTGGCAAGGTGGGGGGGAGAGAATTCTGGCTTCTCAGGAGCTCTGACCAGCATCCCTGTAAAGCAGCAGTGACAAACCGTTATGAAAGCACTTGCTTTCTAAATTTCTCTTTCCACTGGTTTTGAAAGTCAGGATGGTTCAACCCAGGGCCTGGCATGCCCCAAGTCTTGGCCAGGGTTTCCCACGAGGTGGACACTGACAAGCCACTGAGCTTCCCTGCAACTTATTTTACCCACCTGCAAAAGGGCTTCCTGGGCCTCCTTGTAAAGCACTTAGGGATCTGTAAAGGCAAAGATTCATTTTCTGTAAAGGAAAATATTACATGTAAAGTAACATCTTTTTCCTTTTAGACAGAAAGGGACAGTTCTTGCTGGAGGTGTGAAGCAATATTCCTCACACATTCCACACTGCAAATACCAAGGGAATCTCATCAAACATACTCCATTTCATCTTTAGGCTTGAGACAAAGCTGTACCTCCTCCCGAGGAACTAGGGAGCTGCAGGATCACTAGGATGACGTCATTCTACCGGGTTATAAAACATGCTGCACGCTGAACTTGGCACTCAGCGTGCTCAGGTTAAGCTAAGAGCTAATGTAATGAACTCTGGGGAAGGATTTACATCAAATACCACTCTGGAATATTAAAGACAGACAGGACCAACTTCTCACTTGAATAATTACACACTGGCTAAATTCCTCCTTTCATTTCAAAACCAGGCAATCACATTTTCACGTCCTCTCTAAAACTGTGTGTATTGCTGTGCTATTTCACTACCTCAAGAGAAATGTATGTGATTAAAGGATGAAGTAACTTCTGTTAATTACCACGGGCTGAACTAGGATTAGTTCTAGCTCTCGCAGTGACTCTTGCTACTCGAGGGGGGGAGCAAGCAAACCAAGAAAAGAGATTCAAATTTCAACAAGTGTCCACAGCTGCTTGTCTTTGCTAACATAACCTCAGAGGCAGAGGTGCCTGCGAACACTCCTGAACTTCAATTTGCATATAGGAGTACAATGTAAAAGACCTTGCATACATATTCACACTGCACACAGTAGCAATGCAGTGCTCACAAGCTGTTTAACTCTGTATTCTCCTTCTGTCTGTAGGTACTAGTGTATGGCTTTCAGCTGTTATAGGGTATTTTTCCAGGCTCGCTTTAACTAGAATCAGAAAAAAGAAGATTTTCTTGTGGTAAAAGTTGTTGTAAACAGCAAGAGCTAGTTTGAAAGGCAGGATTTAGCCCCAGTGTTATGGCTGTGCATTTGAGGAAGATCCACAGCCAGTGTTATTTAAGGGAAGGACTCCTAGCAAACAGGAGATCAGAACAAAAATGGAAGACAGAGAAGCTGAGAGGGAAAAAGTGGAACATCAGAAGACCAGAAGGCCTCTTCCTGGCCTGAGAAAGACCTACTGTTAAACTACAGGCAGGGCTTGAAGGTCCAGGACTTCAAAGGTGTTTAGAAGCCTCAAACTCATTCTGCTTAGTGGCTCTGGGTCCTCTGCCCATTTCCAACTCGGTTGCCCTGCTTGTTAAAGAGGATGCTAACACACAGCTTCACAGGGTTTGCAAAGCTAAGTTCACTGAGGTTTGCATGGGAAGTATGAGAGGACGTTCTTAAAGATGTTAAACAGGGGGGAAAAAGGAAAACACGAGACACTTTGTCCTAGTAACATTCAAAGCAGGCACCAAAAGAAAGCATTCAGTGGAGTTACAACACAGAAGTCCTTTGGCCACAGAGCCATAGCTTCAGCAGAGCAAAAAATATCTGAGGCACCTGGACATCCCCTTTGTTCTGAACCAGCAGTACAGGCTGCACAGGGACATAGCAGTAATTTAAAAGCTCGTTTTCTGCATCCAAACATCGTGTCAGGATGAAATGCAATTCGTCCTGCTATCATTTAACGAGCACCCCTGGGATCACTGTACCTTGGAGGCATGATGTCTCACGTCAGCAGAGAGATTATTTGTTTTGAAGCTTGTGCATAGCTCTGAGACTTCATTTCAAAGTGCTCAATGCAGAGTCATGACTCAAACCCTTCTGGTCTCACAGAAGGGCACAACTGACTACAGTTTCCCAGTGCTGTTTCCAAGCATCCTGTAAGGGATTAGTAGATATTTAATTTTATTATTCTTTCTTCTCTTTTATTTAGGAATGGCTTTGTCATTGCTTCAATTCCTTCATGTTCATGACACATTTTCTTCAGTGTCATATCAATGATGTCTCTACTGAGACAAGCAAAGACAGCCACAGCAAAAAGCACTGCAACAGAATATGGCATTCATTCCATTTCAGGTGATTTTTAATTTATATATAGCCATTGGGAAAACCGTAGTATGAAACCCATCTTCAGACCTGTGACACAGTAGCTGTGCACAACGCTTGTCTGGTTTCTTCTCTTGTAAGAATAAGCAATTATTACCCAGAATTTTATACCTATCCCTTGAAGGGACTAAAGTATTCATCCAGGGCAATTTGCTAAGACGACAACATTTTTTTACGAGATCATAATAGTTCATACTCACCTGGAAGCAACTAAAGTGATAGCCAGGTTTAGCAGCGGTATTTCCTGCTCGAAAATATGCAGCATGGAAAATAGAGCAGATCATTCTGAATTGGTCATTTAATGCTGAATTGCTGAACCTTACTCAGTTTTAAAACACAAAGCTTTAAGATTAAAAACCTGGAGGTGCATAAAGGACCTCTCGTTCATCGTGTCTACATTGGAATTTACTCTTGTATTAGCATTAAAGCAAGAAAAAATGAGAAGTGTAGACCCTGCATAAGACTGCCAGCCTGTCTGAAATGGGGAATAATTTCAATCCTACTCTTTCAGTTTATTCCAGTGGGGAAAGACCATCAGTAAAGCCATGGTTTCTGTCCCCACCACAGCTCCATCACTGACAGTTCAAAATGCACAGCCAGAGGATACTGAAGGGTTCAGAGCAAGAGCATGTGATGTTGGCATGTAATCTTGGAGAAGAAAAGGAGATCCAGAGTGGCTGAAGAATTTGCAATGGGATCCAAAGACATTTGGATACTGGAGTGATGAATGTCACATCAGAGCTGTTATTGCTCCACTGGTGCATGGGCAGCAGCCTGGAATCAGCCCCGCTGAGCCCCCACAGCCTCACACTGCACAGAAGGGTGCAGTAGTTGCAGAGGGAAGCTCAGTGTGAAGAGGTTTTCGGTGAGGATCGGGCATGGTGGTTCCAGACTTTAATTATAATCTGTTCCTGGCAACAGCGAAATTCAGATGGACCATAGAATGATCAGAGCTGCAGTCAGTGGCTGTGAATCAGTGTTTTATGTTAAGTGAAATTATTGTACACCAATATGGACATAAATCTGGCTGATGCAGAGGGTTGATTAGCACAGCTCTACACTCCAAGTAATGGCATTAAAGATGCAGTGTGAATTTCAGGGAATTAATCATATTGATCACATCTTTTCAATGATAATGCATCCGGCATTTTTACAGCAGATTAAATGAACTGTTTTAACCATTCATTAATACATCCCAGAATATTAACTATGCTTATGAAGAAATAGTTTACCCTCTTCCTGCAGACATTCTCTGGACCCATATGCTGCTACTTGTCCTCTCCTATCCTTTCTGCAGCAGGTAAGTGATTGACGGTGTGATGCTGTTTCCTTCTAATGGAGCCAGAGTAGCTTTTCCTTGAACTAGGCACAGGAGCCTGCTGCAATAGAAGAGATTAACACCAGGTGGCAAATCACAGTTGATTACAATAGGTGCATGTATTCGGAAACACAATGTAATATTGCCAGGAAAACAATGTATCTGGCAGCCAACTCTCCCTCTCCTTCCATGTTCCCTTTGAAAATAGGATACTTGATTTTTTCAGTCTTCAGTGGAAGAAGACTGAAGGATCTGCTCCTTCCGTATCAATTGTAGAGTCCCTGGAAGATCAACAAGGACCCCCTGCCCTGCTATTATCACTGAGGCAGTGGGATGGCAGGATCTGTGCCCCACCAGCTTAGGCAATACACATGCATTGATGAACTAATGGAAATTACAAAAGGGAATTCCCTGGCCCAACAGCATATAACCCAAATACTACATAGGAAGGGAGAGCACACAAGCAGGGTCAGAGCAGTGGTGGCAAAAAGCATGATGCAAATATGAACAGTAGTGAGCTACAAGTGGTGGTGGCTCATGAGTCTCATCAGTTTGGAGATGAAGGAGGAACACAGAAACAGGTAACAACTAGAGAGGTCACCAGTTCCTTTCTTACCTGCTTCAAGGCTCCTACTGCTGCAGTCCCTGAATTGCTCCATCATCCACCTCTTCCTGCATCTCCAGGAATGGTTCAAAAAGTCTCTAAAGTCAATTGCCTCTGCATTGAGAACAGCCAGCAATTCTTTCAGTGCTTTTGGAGTGCCGTTCTGCCTACCAGGAGGGCTGGCAGGATACTCTTCAAGTCCCTCAGTAGCATAAGCGTAGCTCTGCTTTTAGCTGTGAAGAGACTTTGTTCAAGGGCACACGAGGGTTCAATGGGCTTGCCAAGGTCAGGCCACAAACACAGGTATGGGGCTTGCCAGCCACATACCACCTTTCTTCACCCTTATACCAGTCCAACCCCCTCAACTCTTCCCTTCCCCAGATGGCAAGTATCTTAGTTATTTTTAAAAGATTTTCATGTATCTGTTAGTCTGCAAACTACAAACTAAATACACATTTCAAATGAAATGGCTAGGACTTTGACGCTTCTTAAAATATACATTTTATTATTTTCTGGTGTTTGCTATGAAGGTTTCATTTAAATTGTGAAGGTACACAGCCTTTACAAACTTGTTGAGTTAAAGGTTTTTGTTGGTGGTTTTATGTTCTGTTTCTTTCACGGCAGAGGAAAATACATAGGCTATAAAAGGTTGAAATTCGTTAGATGTTTAGTATTACCTCTTCATATATGCTGTGGAATGCTTTGTAGAAATACTATATAAAATAAGGCAGACTTTGACAGGGAATTCAGTCATAAAATTTCATGGGAGAAACAAAAGGTTCTACAAGTTCTGTGCCAAATTCCCACCCCAGGGTGGGACATGTGGCCTTCAGAAGCCCCCCTCCCCAGCGGCGCTCTCGGGGGACCCAAGTCCTTGTGATAGAGGCTGCGACCTCAGGTCAGACGTGGCGACCCTGCTGAATTTAACATATTATTTATTTTTGTAGCCAAGGGAAGATCAGGTGGTCGTCACTGGTTTGTGGGGGATCTACTGCAGTTCTGGTGCTCAGACAGTATACATTTCTTGTTTATTCTACTATTCTCAAGTGAGGCCTTTTCAATAAAACTTATTTTAATTAACATAAATCAGACAATATTTAAACATACACATCTATCCTTACAGTGCAATAAAAATGTATCATTGTATAGTATTTTGTATTTGCATTATGAAAATAAAAGGTCTGTACATCAATTAAATGTATATTAATGAGTATGAATCATGTAAATTTGTAATGCATCTAAAGTTGGCTTTGGCTTTTAAGTATTTATAAATTCATAGAAAATATTGAACATCTAACAAAATAAATAAAACATATCATTTTAATCATAGATGCTAACGATCAACCTCAAAAATTCTTGTGTTATTTTTTACATTTGCTACTAAATTTCTTAAGGAGAACTCACTTTCAGTAGTGCTCAGAAGTGAATGATTGCACCTTCTGTGATGTGAAAAAATAGAGTACATCTATTTTTCATAGATCAAAAATTCCTTCATAGAGAGTTGCATTTTAAATGTCTGATTGTTCTACGTAACTGTCTTAAGTGCTTATAAAAAGCATGTAGCTTTCTCATAAAAGCTGTGAGTCTCTATTAATAGATACTTCTTTTTCACTTGCAGGATCGAGGATTAAGCAAAATCTTCTAGTGAATGTCCTTTTTATGAGGATTCTTCAAGGTCTTCCAGCTTCACACACTGGTATGAAGGTATCGCAAAAATATGTTCACTAATAAACCCTCTTCAGTACAAGGACTGCAGCAATCCAGTGTAATTCCACTTGACGGGCTTATTTCATTGGAGTCCACACATGGTAGTTTGTGGAAGTCAACTGCTGACCTCATGTTCTCTTGAATTTGAAAGTTCCCCAAGCGCATGGGCTAGCCTTACTGTAATACTGAAGAGACCAAAACAAATCTGAAATCACATGAATAGAAGTGAGCTTGAATAAATATGCATTTGGTTAGTAAATTACACACCATGGTCTAATTGCTATTCTGGTGGTGGTCGAAGGCTCCGCAGCTTCCTTTCATCTAGTCCTTTCCAGTATTTAAAGTTATTATCCAGATGCTGCATCAAATTTGGCAGGTCTGCAAATGCTAGGGAAGAAAGGGCAGAGTGTATTTAGTTTGCAGAATTGAAACAGTCACATGATTCTGTCTGCTTTAATATCACTTGAAATGTCTGGGCAACTGTGTTAAGTAGGAAAGCTTAAATCTGTCATAGTGATACTTGAAATGGTTTTGGCTGCATTGCTCTCGTCACTCATGAATCACTCAGGCCACTCAGAACAGTTCTGTAAGCCTACTTAATACCGGTATTGCAAGTCCCAGCAAAGGGAACCAGTTTTCCAGGAGGGGCATAGCTAATTATGCTTGTAATTATTCTACTTCATCAAATCTCAGTCATATGTCATGATCTGGCATTCAGGAGAGTCACATTTCTGACCACTTTTACCACGGAGACAGCACTTGGAAGGAAATAGCTGCTCCCCCAAGCAGTTTCCAGACTGTAGAAATTTGTCTTGAAGAATAACTGATATTAACATGGACAAAATGACTGTGCCCAAAGTGCTATCAAGGAGAACATGTTCCGTTCCTCATTTACAGAGAAGCAAGTTTAAAATGAAGAAAGTTAAACATTGTCTGAATCTAATATATTAAAGGGAAACCACAAGAATGGCTTGTAGCAGTGTCAAAATACTTCTGGGCAATAATGAAGTTATTAAGCTTTCTTGAACTGCAGAAATCTTCCCTTTTCTCCTCCTTTCTTTAGGAGCCATAAGAAAGCAATTTTATATCACAGTAGTTTCAAATGTTCCCAACATTATTTTCAAGAAATATAGCAGAGTTTTGCTTACCATCCCATGCATCAAACATATCAGTGATGAAGTAATCGATGAATGATATTTGGGATTTGGGGATGCTGCAAGTATTTCTGTCAAAAACGGGCATCACGACAGGTAAACCTTGCCTCTTTTCTTCATCAGTCTGCAAAAAACACTCGTGATTATTCATCTAAGACACATTCTGTTAATGGCCTTCTTTTAGCAGCAGATTGTTTGGCACTGACTAGAGCATGCAACTGCTAAATAAACAGAGGAAGGTGAATAAATCTGAAGAAGCAGCAGTTTAATCTTAAGCACCTAGTTGTCCAGGTTTCAGCCAAACAGCAGGTGAATAGTGCCTTCCAGTGTTTCCTACAAAGTGATACGTTCACCTTCTGCACCTGCACACAAAGCTGGCCCCAAGTAACTTCACACCTTACTGGTAAAGTTATGACTGTTTCGGAGCAAAGGGATGCTCAGCCATTATCAACCGCTAACGGAAGCGACATTCTGTACAGCCCAGAGAGGGCAAAATATCTTTTTAATCCCTTTTCCCCCCTTGAGGTACCAAGTCCCAGCTGCACTATTTGGTTTATCATCAGTAATAATGACTCTGCCTTCTCCCTTTCCCCACCTGCCTAAAACCTTCCTTCAGCACAGCGTGCTCTGGTCCTACAGCATCTCCTGGAGCCAGTGCTCTACCCATGCTAACACTAGGACCCGGTGATCCTATTCCTGAGGCGCAGCCAGCACGTGGGTACACAAAGGCACCCTTCCTCTGCCTCTTGTGATGGGAATGCATCTGCAGGCAAAACTCAAAAAGCCCTGCTCCAAACTGAACAACTTGGAAGCTTAATTTTTCCAAAAACTGCACTGTAGAAGTTGTCAAGAAGACATCTAGTCTTGTAACGGCGTGAGTGACATCCCATCATTTAAAATAAACAAGTTGTTATTTTTCACAATACGTAATACAGCCTCAGATGTCCCGGGACACTGGCAGTGTACGCACACTTCTCTTCCCTCACCTGGAACCTCAGCAGTGTGTTTTAGCTGCTTACCTGTGCGAAGTACTCCTCAGAGATCCGTCCAGCCCACTCTATGCACTGCTCTATGGGCCGGCAGGGGTTGGAAATGTCAGCACACTTTATCAGCATGCGTTTGATGAGGATACGGTTTTCAGGAGACGTGAGAACAGTTTTGATTGACTCTCCATCACCATTATTCTGTAACATTTAAGAATGAAAAACAGTCCATTAGCAAGGTCTCTGGGCACTTAACTCCATAGTTTTGTGCCTTGGGAATGCTTTCGGCAGATCCTGCAGGGCTCAGTTGTGCTACTGGCTACCATATTTGACGTCCAACTGAATTTAGAGGGGGATTATGCATGCTAGCCACAGCTCTGAACTAGCACTCAACTCCAGTTTCTGGGTTCAGTAGCTATCTTTGTGACAGAACTCTTGGGAATCTTTGGGCAAGTCATCTAATCCCTCTATGCCTTGTCTGCCTCCTGAAAAGCGTGGAGAGGATCCATTCATCACTACACACATAGTGATGAGCACTGTGTAAGCAGAAAAATGTAACTCTCTGCTGAAATCCAAGGATTAATGGACTTGCACATTAAGAGTGGAATAGCTGGCTTAAAAAAAAAAAAAAAAGACTGACCCGAGATGCACGATCATCCTCTGCACGCAAACCTCATCAGTGTGAGCATCCATCATTCTGACAGCACTGCTCTGTCAGGAGAGTCACATCCCACGCTGCCTCCCAGGCACGCTCCCCACCCCTGCCACTGGAGCCCTGTTAGTCCACCAGTCTCTGACCTGACTGGGAACTGTGCTCTCTGAGAGTTTATCAGTATTAAAGAGATATATTAGAAACATGCTTCCGAACAGCCTCATCTTTCCTCTGCAAGTCTAGGAAAGTTTTCAGCCCACACAAAGCTTATATTTGGTTCGCAGGCTGCACATACAAGCGCGTCAACAGCACTCTATATTTGGAGCCAGTATATAGCTAATATGAGTAAAGACTCCGATGATCCAGATTAGAAGCTATTTTCTGTGGAGCTCTGATGAAGTAAGTTTCCAAAGGACAGAGATTCAGGATTAAAATCTCTTAGAAAAATTACCTGTAAGTACAACATTATTGCTTGACTCTTTATGGGTAGGTAGGTACAGAAATTTATACCACCCTCTACTCAGAATAGAAATTCTTTGAAGCAAGGAATATACTAGGCTTCTCTGGCACCTAACAAGGTCCTGGTCTATGGTCAGAGCAGTGAAGAATTAACAGCAATAATAATTATAATAATGGGCCTACAGTATGAAGAGGGAGATACAAAGCAGCAGAAACTTTCTGATCTTTTATTATGACATATTTTTCAAAAGGAAGTTATTGTGGGGAAGAAAGTCCTTCCTGAAGGAAGGAACTGGCAATAATAAAAAAAATATTATTTGGTATTATACTGGCTCAGAAACTTCAGCTCCACACTTTCTACCAAAGTGAGACTCCCAAACCAATTCTTTTCCCTGACTTTTAGATATATGGAAGGGAAAATAGAGTGGAAACAAAAGCGAGGTACATACATCTCAAAATTCATGCCAAAATTATGTAAGAGAAAGCCAAAGTAAAGTGATAGAAGCTCCAGAAACATGAGCAGTGTGTAAAAATTAAGCATGGGAAATTATCAGAGGTCATTCAGTTAAGGGTAGCAGAGAATATCCTAGTAGATAAACCACCAGGAATCAAGAAAGGATGTTCGCTTCCATGATCTGTTCAAACCAAGGGCACAGTTCTACTTGCTGGATGCGGATGTCTTGGGAATAAAATGTGCTAACTGTGCTTAGTCCTGGCATCCTGCTCAGAGTGCAGAGGTGTCTCTGCATGTCAGATGTTGGCTTCCTGTCACAGGCTTAGGTGACATCATGAAGGGAAGTGGGAGGATAAAGGATGCTGGAGCTGGAAAGGATTTTTTTCAGTTTATGAAACAAAAGAAGAAAGGAAACAAACAGAGCAGCTTCTCAGCATGGCTCTTTGAACAAATATGTATAAAAATAATAAATAAAAAAAATAAGTGGAACTGTCCCATTTGGAACACAGGGTTGGCAGCTCAGCCTGCAAACACTACACTGAGTCACTGCCATGACTGGAAACCAGTCCAGGAAACACACGCTGCCGCTGCAACCAGATACACAACCAGACTCGAAAGAGGATCTGCCAGTGTTGTTCTGCTAGTAATGAGCACAGCAAACGACTGGTTTTACCCACTCACACATTACATGCCTTTTAATAGGAACCTCCTGAACTGAAAAACTCCCAACCAAAAGAAGGGAAACACTTTGCTTCTTGTTTTCAATAAAAACTATATAATCTTTGTCTGTATTCCCATCCTTGGGCAGAATTTGCTGTGAACCACAAATGTCTTGTGGGGCAGATTATTTCCCTGCAGCTCTGGGGGCTCAAAGGCAGAATTAAACTTTTGTTTGATTTCTGTGTGTCACTGTATTTTTACTGTTTGACTGTACAGGTCCAAGCCCCATTCTTCAGCAGCAACAGCTATTCAGCTCTCCATAACAGGCAAGAAGAGGAGTTTGGCTCTTTGGATGGATGGTGCTGCTCAAAGAACTGCTGCATTCTGATGCTTGGGGCTGCGAGGAGGGGCAATGCACACTGAGCCAGGCCAGTACAGAGCCCTCCAGCAGGACCAGGTGCCCCAGAGAGTTACAGACCCCCCAGTGGCAGCCGGGGCAGGGCAATGCACCCAGCAGCAGCTCCCCCGTTCTCCCTCTGCCCGTCCTCTGCTGAACGCTGCTACACGCATGCAGAGAGGATGCCCAACTGCATCCCTGCAGACTCTCAAGAGCTATAAAGACAAGGCATTTCTCAGGAGTACTGAGAGAACTGGGGGTGAGCAGCGATGCGGGATGGTAGCACTGGGAAGAGTAAAGGAGCTGCCATCAAGCAGCTCCTTCATCTGCAGACTGTCATGCGTAGACAGCAAAGTGGACTGGCTTTTCCTGGCTACCTCACTTGCCATCTACCAAGCATTGCTCTCCCTTCTTGTTTGTTACAATCAAGAAACTGAGCAGAGAAACATTTAGCTTCACAATTTTCCATCCATTTTTCTGTCTTTACGTTTCCATTAAAATATCCTGAAACAAACAAATCTCTATCAGGCATTCATAAATAAATGTATTAGCGTGTAATTTCTTAAAATTGTTCTAAGCAAAACTGGTTTTGTGGAAAATTCCACAATCATAAATTAATATATGTATACATTTAAAAAAAAAGTCTACAATGAAACAGCTTGATCATCTACAGCTACAGTTGTAGGCTAGCCTGCAGGCCGACACTTCACATTAAAAGATTTTGTTTAATGCTGTTCATGACTGCCAATTTAAATTGTTCAGTTGAAGTTTCCCCACCAGGTGTCCGCCTCAGGCAAAGATTTTTTTCCCCCTGAAAATTGCAGTTAAAATGTTTTGGTGGCTTCTGAATATGAGGTTGGGGGAAATAAGCTCTTTGTGCTGATGTTAAGAATTATCGCTGGTTTTCTTTTTTAATACCCTCACATCTTTATGAGTGAGGACCTGGAATTTAGTTGGAGTGATGATTTGGGGGTAAACCAGTCACCACCCTTGTGAAAATCTGCTGGACGAGTTACAGACTTCAGAGAAAAAAGCTGTGGTTTGTGTAGACTCAATAGGGATTGCTGGAGCCTGGGAATGAACAGGACTCTCCCTGCAACTGTAATTCCTGGCTGTGCTGGACCAGGCACTGTCCCGGCCCTGGTTTTGTAGCTAAGAACAGGGAGCCTGTCCCTCCTGTATTTGTAGTGAAAAAATACCTGCAGAAAAATGTCAGCAGGGAAAAGGAGTTTTGCCCCATTTGAATGCAAAAAAAGGTGAAGAGAAGGAGGAGGGTGGCACAAAATTCTTGGGAACTGCAAAGGAGAGAGGAGACTGACAAACAGACATGGAAAAGGGGAGGAAGGCTGAAAAAGGAGGGACTGGTTGAGTGCTGAAAAACAGCAGAGGAAGAGAGGCAGAGCTAGTGAGAAGCCAAGGAGCACAACGGTGGGTGAGAAGTGAAAACAGCACAACAAGACAGCAGGCAGGGAAGGGGCTTTGAAGTCAGAGCAGGGTCAGAGAAAAACAGAATCTGATGATACAATTAAAATCTGACTGCATCATAATGTGCATGTAAATGGAGTCATTTGGTTGAAAAGCTGGTAGTAATCCTGTCACTTGGTAACCTTTGACAACAACTTTACAATTTAAGCCTGTTTTTTCACCATCCTTCCTTTATTTGTAATAGGTAGGAGACCGACTGTGCTAAGCCTCAGCTATTAAATGATCAATCTAAGGACAAATGTGTGCACAAACTAGTTCGGTCTTCTCTAGGTTCTGGTAGCAGGGAACAGGCGCTTGTAATGAGTGTAGGTAAGTCCTGGGCAATAAACTTCATAATTACACAGGGACTGATACAGCACCCACAAAAATCAAGAGTATTAGTCTCTCTGTGACTTCAAGCCACATTCTGCACCATGAGGCTGTCTGGGAAAAATACTTCATAGCCACAGACTTAACAGCCTTTCTCTTAGTTTAGTCAGTAAAACCAGTATCCTACTGGGACTTTGGCTTCACATTCACATAGTTCTCATTAACATCGGTGGGTGCCAAGAACAAAGCTAATTCTAGCATATACTCCTGTGGACAAAGGTACTCTCCTCCAATTAAGCTCTGATCTGCTTCTGATGGGTGAAGGAACAAGACCTGTTCCTCTCCCACCTTCAGACAATAAAAAGACCTCCCCCCATCCCTGCCCTGCCCCATTACACACAACAGTCATAAATGTGGGTTTCTAAAAAACATGGTAAGAAAACACAGAAAACCATTACAGCTCCTGCAGGACATTGCCACCAATGCAAACTTTATTATAACTGTTTCTGAAAATCTTTTTGCAAAAACCATTCCAACAAAATTATACGCTGCTCTTACTGGCAAAAAAACTGCTGGTTGAAGCTGTTATTGAAACTGGTGTGGTTTTTCAGAATGAGTTTTAACAGGCAATTTCATTGTGTCCATGGGGTTCCAGATGGCTATTGATTAAGTCTATATGATACATAATGCCACCATCATCTATTTGAAAGATTAAAAGAGAGTGTAGACAGAAAACCCATGAGTGCTGCCAGGCAGCACTGAAGGCCCTCATTTCCAGAGAATGCGCCATATGGCAGTCGATATACCTGCCCTTAAGCTACACACAGCGCTGCCCATCGGGAGGGAGGGACTAATTCAGCTCCTGTTCTGAGGCAAATCTTGGCCCCTTTGCAGAAATTGCCAACAGCAACACCAGGTGTGCCGCAAGCGCTCTCTCCATGGGAGTGACCGGGTTCATCAAAATGGCATTTTTAACAGATAAATATACAACTTGAGCTTCTGGTCCCAAGTAAAACATCACAGCCCGGCAAGATCCCCACAAGGATCCAAGTGAGTTCGACTCATCCTCAAAATGTGTGATGACCACATTAAGCGGAAGGGCATTCAGACCCACCGGTGAAAGACACAATTTCTAGTCTCTCTTTCTCCACGTTTCTGATGAACTTTCTCAGAACACCACTTGGTGGGATTTCCTACTGCCAAGGCTTCCCAGTCCCTGCCTAGTCATTTGAAGGAGGATTTGTAGTGTTGCTTACCCCATTTTCTTCTAGCGCTGCCAAAGGTTTATTAATGCTGTTGACAAACTTGTTGACATGCTCAAAGTGCTTTGTCATTTCTGTTGCTAAGACCATGTCAATAATGGCTTGGCGAAGGGTTCGATACTCATTCCTGTTTAAAGAAGGAAACAATTAAGAATGCTGGCTAGTTCACAAAGGGCTGCTTGCTAAAACAAGTCTAACAAAAATGCTACAGACCATTTCCGTTGAAGAGAGGTGCTGGGGAAAGAAAGAACAGTAACGAAGGCTTGGACAGCTGCGTCTATGCTAGATGAAGAACCGTTTGGTGTGCACAGACCTATGTGCTACAGGCATGACTGATCTCTGGGAGAACCAGTGCAAGGGTTGGTCAGAAGAGGAGGGCTGCCAGGACATGCCACACCGGCATGTTCCCAAGGCTTTTAGCACAGACACTCGGCAGTGGCTCATACTCCAGCCAAGTTTTCAGCAATACTTTTCTGCTGTACCTTGAGAGGGCTAAGGCAATGGTCACATCCTCACCCTAAATGCCTTTCTAGGGCTGTAAGAACACCAGTTCCTTCACCGTCCTTCCCATTGCAACAAGGCATTTAATTTTTGACTGATGCTCCGTGACTCTTTCTATCCTTGTTCTTCCCAGCAAACATCTACACACTCAGCCATAGCTTGTCCTCTACGTCCAATGTTACAAAATCATACTTCTAGACTTACTAACATTAGGATTTATACTAACTTCCTTAGATAGGGTCTGCTTTTTTATCCGCAGGAGGAACTGAGACCATGGGATTAGTCCTAACTCTGTGCAGGACAGGCAGAAGCAGTCTACTCTTTCAGAAGCAAACCTCCACAAGGGCTACAGACAGTTATCCACAAGGCACTGCCTTCCTCTAGGATGCTTGTTTGCGTCACCTTACATTACACAGAAGAAAGTAAGAGATGTCAGTGGGCAGACAAGGGTTTTAAGCTTACCTCTCCATGTTTTTAAATATATTGCATTTGTCATCCCGGGTGGTGAGCTGGAAAGCCAGGGCAGCATGATGGCTCTCCAGCACTGCGGTGTCATTGTAGAGAATTGCTAGCTCACTGCCAGCATTGCACAGGAAAGAATTTGTTCTTCCTGGGTGATCCACGTCATGGACTGTGGCAGCAATGAGTGCGGCAACCTCGTCAATCGGATCCAAAGTTTGCTGAAAATAGAAGGATACTTAGTTTTCCTGGCAGACTCATTAGAAACCCTACTCTGTCCATAAGATTAAGCCAAGTTGCTGAGGAATAAAAGCCAGGACTCTGCAGATCACTAAGGGTCAGATGTTCTAGACAGAGCAATGGAAAATTCATTATAAGTTTCAATGAACGCTGCATGATTTTTTTGGTCATTTTGTGCCTCCTGAATTTTGCCTTAGCCACGCCTTTGACAAAACACATCAAATTAACCAAGTGCAAAGTAATACATTAATTTGTGTTTTCTAACAACGCAGAAACCACCTTCACTTGGAGTTAAGGTATTTGGCTTGGAAAAAAGACCAATACTGCTAAAATTGTATTTCCACCAGACCCCTTCATTTCTTTTGGAAACTTAATGTGTCCTAATCACATTCCACTTACAAACTGTAAACCTAGCCAGCATGTAAGGAATGTTTCCCATATATCTATTTCCACAATAGCAGTGTCCTGGGGCTACAACTAATATGAATTCTGTGAAGAATACTTGATGGTTTACATCTATGGAAAAACTACATGATGCTGTTATGCACTTTCTGTATCAGATTGTGATTCTCTTTGCATGCTGCGCTCCACGCTTTACATCTACTTCCATTGGTCACTGCTTTACGTCTGATTATATCTACTCTATAATGAAATATAAAACTATTTCCATTTTAAGGTTTTAATACTGTATTAATAGCATAAAGGAGAAAAAAACCCAAGCATCTCAGAAATATATGGTATACATTTGGAAACTAGCCTTTATGTGGTGTTTATGCTGGGCTTTTTGTGAAGGATCACTGACACAAAACAATTATGTTAAAAATTTTAATAAAATGAAAGAGGCACAAGAGCAGAAATGTTCCCAGTTGAATCTGGGAGCAGGGCAGATAATTTGCATTCCAATTAGCTTGGATTTAAGGTCCAAATTCCCTACTGGCTTTGGCAGCACCATTCAGAATGGTTAGATTTGGTAGGTGAAAAAACAATCCCTACCCTAATTTACACCTCCTGAAATTAATGCAGTGACTTATCTTTGATGGAGCTAGGATAGTATTCATTGAGAACTGTCAAGAAGGTCTTGTGGACAACAAGGCTAAGAATAATTTCTCTAGGTTCATAGTTAGCATTGTCTGAAATACTATCTGTGGTGTGTGAGCTTCTTTGTTCTTTCTTTCAGCTGCTGCTCATGGGATTCTATTTTTGAGGTATAAAGTTAGGAGAGAGAGGTTTTTAGAACAAGCTCTCTTTGGAGGGACACTGACCAGTGCCCAGTCTGGCTGAGAAAGACCTGTGCAGGTGGGAAGTGGCCAGAAACTGGAGAATACTTGACCTGTAGGACTAAGAAATGTATCTCACACTTATTTCCCAAGTCTGACATAACATACTTCGCAGGCATTTACAGCACCCTTATGCCCAATTCAGGTCAAGGATTCTAACTTTGTCATCTTGTGGCACAGAACTGGAAATGATTTTGAGAATACTGCTTCAGTTTGGGAGCCAGAAAATTTTCCCAGGCAAGAACCAAGTTCAATTTACTGAAAAGAATCTTCTCAGTGTGAACGTGAGTGGCAGAATCTGGCCCTCTGTATTTGGATTAAGTTGAACTCTGGACAACACAAAAGCAGCTGGGCTGTAACTTTGAAAAGATAAAGAGAGAATTTTGAACTTTGATTCTGCTCCTTTTTCTGCTGCAACATTTTTTTCTTTTCCTATTCCTACAGAGGAATACAAATAACATTCTGGAAAAGGAGGCGGCAGTCATGCTTCTGTGGCATTGAAATGAGTCCAGATCTTGTCTGTTTTTCATAGATATTCTTGGGAAGACCAGCTAAACCTCTGGCAAATCAGGGGCTGAAAATATCCAGCGAAGTTCTATTCCCACTCGGTATACAGTATTTGTAAATCAGCCTCTGGAGAGCACACTAATGAGCTGCAGCTCCAGGTTAAGGGACTTACTACAGTTTTAATGAGGTGTCAGAAGCTTGTTTACAGTCACAAATGTCTCAGCCAGGTGCCCATCACTAGCACAATCCTCAGGCAGGCCAATTCAATTTTCTATCCAAAAATGCAACTCAGAAATATGTACTGCCACTCCACCACCGCGTACACATGCAAGCACCGTTTTAATTCCCCTTCTCCAGTCTGGCCTCTAGGCATGTGAGAACAAAGGTTGCTCTGATTTATTCTGGCTGTCAGTGCCTCTAATTTGCCAGTGGGTGTTGTGGGACAAGGAACTTTGACAAATAATCTTTTTCAATACTCTCCTCCAATGCACTCTCTTTAAGCCTCAGGGCATCTCGTCCAGTGGGTGATAGAGCTTTGGAAGCACTAAACCTATTTGATGGCCTATATTGTCCTGGGAGTCTTCTGCAAAATTACCATCACAAGGCATAAGAGACGGTGATTTATTACATTAAATCTGTATTTGGCATGTACCATCACAAAAATAATTGTGTCATTAGCTCCCCTATCTCAGAAAGTTTAACTATATGAAAGGTGTCAGAAGCTTGTTTACAGTCACAAATGTCTCAGCCAGGTGCCCATCACTAGCACAATCCTCAGGCAGGCCAATTCAATTTTCTATCCAAAAATGCAACTCAGAAATATGTACTGCCACTCCACCACCGCGTACACATGCAAGCACCGTTTTAATTCCCCTTCTCCAGTCTGGCCTCTAGGCATGTGAGAACAAAGGTTGCTCTGATTTATTCTGGCTGTCAGTGCCTCTAATTTGCCAGTGGGTGTTGTGGGACAAGGAACTTTGACAAATAATCTTTTTCAATACTCTCCTCCAATGCACTCTCTTTAAGCCTCAGGGCATCTCGTCCAGTGGGTGATAGAGCTTTGGAAGCACTAAACCTATTTGATGGCCTATATTGTCCTGGGAGTCTTCTGCAAAATTACCATCACAAGGCATAAGAGACGGAGATTTATTACATTAAATCTGTATTTGGCATGTACCATCACAAAAATAATTGTGTCATTAGCTCCCCTATCTCAGAAAGTTTAACTATGTGAAGTTTTGTTTTAAAAGGAGGTTTTCTTATTTGCCTCTCAAGAATAGCTCAATTGCCATAGCAGTAGTATCCATCCTTCCCTACATACTACAAGAGAGCTCCTAGAACTCATGTGAAGCAGATGAGTTCTTTGACATCAGCATTAACTAAACTGGTTGGCACTAGGTAGACATTTGGCTCTTGGCACCTTTTTTGAGAGATCTTCCTTTGATCACACCTGTTCTTCCCACCTATACTCTACACTGTTTCTTATAAATGTGGACTCACCTTTACTCTTTCTTTAGACAAGAAATAAGCAGTGGCATGTAGTACATCTGCTGAATGAGTGGAATTATGGTAAGAGTTGGAGGAGTGGTAATTAGCTTCAATAACTTGTAACCACGACCTCAGAGTTGATTCTGAACAGTTTAAGAATTCACAGATTCCAAAGCGAGCAAATATTTTGAGACCCAGATAAACCAAAGGCCTGTGGACAAAAAAAACCCACAAAGTTTTTAGACAAATGAGGTTGAAAAAATATTACATAGCATAAATAGTATGAAACGATACAGCATTTTTAGCCAATGACATCTCAGATTAGTTATAAGGACTTGTTACAGAATTACAACCCAGATCTGTAGAAATGTCCTCCCTACCCATCGCATGCACGCTCAGAATCACGCCTGTCAGTTCTTGACACTCCCCGGCACATCGAAAAGGCTCCATATTGCTGCTGCGCTGCATGTAGCAGTTTTGGGTGGCTTAGGGAGTCTACGTTGGGTAAATGTAGACTGCAGTCAAAATGAGATAAATTAGCAAGTACTGAACTGTGCACAAGAGGAGGGAGGTAATCTGGCTGCTGCCACAGATTTCTAAACTAGCGTGCTTACAGTGAGATTCCCTACATCTATACTACACAATGCTGCAATCACTACTCTTTCTGCACTCTAGATCTGCTCCGTTTCTCTTATGTCCACTCTTGCAGGCTTCCATTGCTCCTTGACTTTGCATGAAATAGAGGATGAGAGACAGAGGTATTCTGGAAGCACAGGAGCGGCCAGAGCATGCCTGTTCCAGAAGGCTGTAAGGGCCAGACGAACTTCCAGGCTAACCCAGTCGGAGACGTGTCTCCAAAAACACCCAGCATCACTGTATTACAGAAGTCTTGCTTCTGCCACAATTTAACCACACAATTTAAACCCAGATGACTGGCAGTTGATTGAAGACCAAACACCAGTACAGAATATTTCTAATCTGAAAGCTGTGAAAGCGCAATATGTTTAGTAGAGCCAATGAAAAAAAAATAAAAATCAAGTTTTAGTCCACTAGCCTTTTTTGAAATCCAGTTAATACCACTGTTTTCTTGTCCAATGCATTTTTTGCTTAAGAAGAACAGGTATAGTGGTAAATATTTTCAAATGTGGATTCTTAAAAATAGATCTTAAATCCTTATTTTGGCATCTCACTTTGATGCTTGATTCCAGATGCACCAAGCACTCTGATTTCTAGCCACACCTGATGGTTGAGGTGAGGTCATTTAGAGTTGCTAAGGTCATTTAGAGTTTGGCAAAAATACTCAATAATACTGTGCCGTATATGAGTATCATAATACACTAAAGTGAAATCCCCCCACGTAGCACTGCTGGGCAAAGGTCTCTCCAGGTTTCTGTGTCAGGGAACTGTCATACACTAAAGCTCAGATTTAATGAATTACCTTTACTACCATATGTCTGCTTGGTCCTGAAGACAATATTGATAACATATTCATAGTTGTGATTCATTGAAGGTCACTTTAATTCTCGTAATAAATGAATTGCCTTTATTTAAACACAGCAGGAAGCAATCATAATTATAATACCTTTAATAAGAGGACAGGCAACAAAATACTTCCTTTGTCCCCCTGTGTTCTCTCCAAATCAATAAGAACAGAGAAATGTATCTGGTGATCTCATGCATGTTGGCTGGGATAATTAATTCTTAAGTTACTGCAATGTGTGCATTAAATGTTGTAAATCACTGACTGACTACATTTTGACTTTTTTTTTTTTTTAATTACTGGATCTATAGCACTTCATTAGAAATGGAAATGTAGCAAAGCAAAAAAAAAAAACCCTACAGTAACGGGATACAAATTTCTTCACTGACAATAAAATCACTTTAAAGAAGAATAAAGAACCTGATCTTTTTTCCAATTTTTTTTTGGCTTAAAAAACCATGTTGCATATATGTTAACTAAATGCCTGATATCTTTCTTAGACATTGTTTTTGAACACCTTTAAAGCTCTTACAGATCTGGGATCTTGATGAGGGCTTAAGATAGTCAACTCATTGCAGGATCTAGCCTCCAAATTAGTGTCTCATAGAAGCTTTAAGCTAAGACAAAGCATGACACGTGAAACTAGACCCAAAGGAGAACTTTTGACAGGTATCAGGAAATAAAAACAACGATTTAAACAGAAAGATCAATTTATAGTCTTAGTTGGAACATTTGCTACTAATGAAGTACAGTCTATCAGAACTGCTTTTGAAAACTTCTGTGATTGAAATTGGTATGCCCTACTTTTTGTCAGTAAATATTCTTCAGTTAATCTTATACATAAAATGTACCCTGCCAAGATTTTAGAATAAAGACCTTCCTCTAATCCAGAGAAAGGCAATGGGAATTTGGCTGAAAAGCTGTATTTGAACTGTTAGGAATAAAAATTACCCAACTAAATGGAAAGAAAATAAAACATGATCTGTATCAATTTATCAAATTAAGACCAGCATGTTGACTCTGTGTGTAGTTGGCCATAATTTGAATTTAAATCCCCACAAGACAACAATTTGATTTGCAGAACTCTTCTATTATTGAGAACAGAAAAGCAAGGCTTTTAAAATGATGTTGTATTGTTATTATACGACATCAAAGATATATAATCTTCACTTATATAATCTTCACTGGGAATCTGCAAGAAATAGTGTATGATGTAACAGAAGATATTTAATGGGTTCATACACAACTGGAAATGACAATGAGAAAATTTCAAACATTTGACTTTGAAAATAAAACTAATTCATTTTAAAAGCACTGGTAGAGAAAATAAAGAGCTGATTACAGGATGACATTTAAGTCAGTTTTCAGCAACTTCAATTTATGAGCTCTTGAGTTTACTGACCTTTTATGGGTGGCAGCCTCAAGTTCAAAGATATCAAAATCCCAGTGTTCTTCATTTTCCATTGCCTGTGTTATCCGCGGGGGTATGTCATTGAGGGAGATTGGAGAGATCAAACTGCCAGCGACCTGATGAGTTTCTGTTGAGGAATATATTTGCAGATCACTATTAATAACCCTGAGACACACTTTTACTCAATGCACATGTTTTTTTCTATTGTAATGCCTGGCAACTCACATTTTTATAAAGCTCAGTAATGCTGCAGAACAATGCTCATAAATAAAACAAAATCAAGCAATGCTTATAAAAAAGAACATCTGAACATTTCCTCTGTTTCTTAAATTTCTTAACATGTTTTAATATCTCAGTAACTGCCAAAGTAAAACTTACGTTTTGCTGACAATATGTATTCGTTCCCTGATAATCTTCGTAAACCGTCCTGTTCAATAAAAGTTGAGAGTTAAATGCAGGGTATTGAACAGTCTATAAGATGATGACACCAAATAGTAGCACAATGACTTTAGAGAAGCCTATTCACAGTCATGAACCTGTCACAGTCATCAAAGCTGCCTCTCCCTTATTTGTGTGTACATTTATATGTATTGTGTTTACACGTAGTACATAATGGATAAGAAACTGCAAGAGATAGGATATAATAAAAACTTAGATAGGTACAAACTCAAACTTCTCAGATGCAGGTGAAGGTCTGGAATTACAGCCTCAGATCCAGCTCTCTCTGGACAAAACAGACACAGGTTCTGGATGTGTGCCACAAACCAGACATGGTACATCCACATACTTCCCATCAGCAAGCAAAGGTGGGTGGTGGGAGGGGATGGATGGAGACATGCTTCTGCTCTCCTCCCTGGGTATTGGCAGATCAGGTCACCTCAGCAGCATAAGAATCGAGGGGTAATGGTTTTAAACTTAAAGAGGGGAGATTTAGATTAGATAAGGGGAAAAAAATTCTTTACTATGAGGGTGGTGAGACACTGGCACAGGTTGCCCAGAGAAGCTGGGGATGCCTCATCCCTGGAGGTGTTCAAGGCCAGGCTGGATGGGGCTTTGATCAACCTGGTCTAGTGGGAGGTGTCCCTGCCCACGGCAGGGGGCTTGGAACGAGATGGTCTTTAAGGTCCCTTCCAACCCAAACCATTCTGTGATTCTACAATTCTATGATTTGTTGCTGGAATTGCAGAGCAACAAATTACTCTGAGGCTTCCCTTCTATCAAGAAGAACATATGCTTGTGTACTCTCCAACTCAATGCCTCCTAGGCTTAATTCTGGCGTGACGCCTAGATGTGCAAACTGAGATGATGGATTAAAACTAACAATGATATATTTAATATTAACTTTTTTAATATTAACTTTTCAGCTCATAATTCTAAATGCTGTGGCCCAAATCCTGCTTGCTTTTTTTCATGTATACAGCTGTTAGTTACTGCACATTAATGTTTAGCCCATGATGAAAACCAACAGTTATTTAAAAAAAGGAAATCTTTCTGAATGCACCTTACTAACAGTGTTATGCACCCAAAGTACAGCAGAAGTAAATGTGGATGCTATATCTAAAGATGCAATGTCTGCACTTCAAAGGATCGTTACATCTCATTTTTATTTTCACATTTGTAGGTAAATTAGTCTGAAGTTTTGTGATTTAAAAAGAAAGGGAGTACAACTCTGGCTCAGAGACTCTTCAATAGCACTGTTTTGACAGAAATATTTAGGACACCAGATGCTGTGTATCACTTAGAATCAAAGACTAGTTTTTTAAGAGCTGAAATAGCACGTGTAATTGTATCTGGCAAATCCATCTTTGAACTCCAAGTGCCCTTCCCATCATAAATTCTGCTTGAGAGTTCAAATCCAATAACCTACTTCTTGTTCCCCTACTCAGACATAACTTCTGAACATGAAATGGAATAATAGGATTCTATTTTCAACAGCCCCTTTGCTGGAAAAATGTTTCTCCCAGATAATTTTAAAACTCGTAATATACCATATACCCTCATGCTCTGAAATGGATTCTCTCAGCTTTTCTATTGCTCCATAAAAGTGTCCTTAGTTTTATTTTTAGTGTTTTGCGATATTGCTACCTACATGTTCTGGGACCATGGACCAAATAAAGTCAGAATACAAATGTATGTAAGAATCAACAATCCACAAAAAGGCGAAAACAGTTGAGTTTAGGGACTGTTGAGTATTCAGCAGGAGAAAAGATTAACTTTGAGACTCTAATGATTATATGTATCAATATTCTTCCTGTATTTTTATAGTTAAGGTAACAATATATTTTTTCTACTGAGTTAGTAAATTCAACCCTATATGAACCATTCGGGTCTTCTGCTGGAATTCTTGAAGTCTCTCGTATGTTTCTCCTGATTAGATACTTGCTGTGGTATTTTAAAAGGCAAGAAAATATTTAAACTGCTTAAACATTCTGATGGATACTGCAAAGGCATCTTGATAGTTACAGCATGAAATGGTAATAGCCCAGAGACATCTCTGAGAAGCTCACATCTTGTGAGCCTTTTAGTATCCAACACATTGCCAAATTTTTTCCTGAGGTGGCCTTTTATATGCAACCTACAGACTAGTGGGAACATATATCCTTAAGGCACAGGTAACATTCAGTCTGGTTCCTCTAGTTATTACTGGGTTCAATTCTTGCTTTGCTACATGCCCTTTGTTCAACTTGGGCTACAACGCTTCTTTTCCCAATGCCCCTGTTCCTCCTTTCATAACATAACAACATAATACCTGCCTTCTTCAGTCTTTTTCTTGCCTTATTTATTTAAATTATGAGTTCTGTGGAAGCATGATTATGCTTTAATATGTGAACATTTATGTTTCCAGCTCAAAGCACTCTGATCTTTCTGTGAGTCTCTACGAGTAAAAATATAATCCAAGAAACAGCAACAAAAATATGTATTTTGCATTCTCTTAAGAACATGTCCTTTCTATACACTGAAAAGCCCCCCAAACATGCCATGCTAACCCTAATTAAGAAAAAATAAGTGCCTAGCTATCTTTCTTTCTTCCTTTCCCATCTCTAACATGAATCACATTGAAAAAAGAGCTGGTTTTCCTTTCCATTTCTAGCAAAACTAATGCTTCAAAAGGACTGGTCAATTTTCTTCCCATTTTCAGAGCTACCTTATTAATGGGGCAGGGGGCAATACACCAAAAGAAGTGTGCTGTTTTTCTTCAGAATTTGGCATTGTAGAGGTAAAGCACATGTCAGATGATAAAGATCGAGTAACTGGGAAAATCAGGCAGCAGAACATTAATCAATAGCTGTTTGTGGCAGTATGTACTTACTGTCATTAACCCTCCAACGAGGTCACTTGTATGTGGATCTTCATCTTTTGTCCCCAGTTGTGGAGAGTACAATTCAGTGGTTCTTAAAATCTCCAAAACCCGGTCTAAAGCTTCTGCAACTGGCATGGGACTGCTTTCTTGTGCAGCATTGATGATGTTTATTACCTAGTTTAGCATTAGACATGTTTTGAATTTAGAAGTGATTTAAGAAAGAACAGAGTCACTCATCAATTACTATGGAAAACTCATAGCAAATAAATGAGATCTACAACTTTAATCCACGTGGGGGAGAATCAAAATGAAAGGGATGTTAATAAAACACTGATGTTTGCTACTAGCTCTGGGAACAAGATTGTGGCATTAAAGACAGCAGTCTTATTAATGACTTTTCCATTCAAGGCACAGCCTCAAATTTGAATGGATTTAATATAACTTTCTCCTGTTTGCCCCTCTAAATTTATTAAAGAGCTGATTTTTGCCTAATTCTTGAATGGCTTCAGAAGGCAGTTTGCAATGCATAAGTAAGAAGGAAGAACTCCAGTCCCTCCTTCATATAGGCAAAAGTCCTTAAAAAGGCTGATGCAATGGCTGACCACATGGAGGGGACTCTACTAAGTGGATGTAGGAAAACTTTGTTCAGAGCATCTGCCTTTTTGAAGCTCCACCAGTGAGCAGGTGGAATGGGAGTAGAAGTTGCAACAGAGGCCAGCGCTGCCTTGCTCCTCAGTCTGGATGCTGCACGGGACCCCTGTGCCCCAATATTTCAGTAGAGTAGAGCACAACTGGCAACAGCTGGCAACAGTGCACATTACCTTGGTGATGGGTGCTTCAATAGTCATGGAATGTATCCTGGCCATAGAAGAGTGCCTCCTTTGTGAGCTGCCTGTGTGGAAAACAAAGCAGAATTTGTGCCCCAATTTCAGTCACAAAGCATGACAGGAGGATCAGCCAAGAAATCTTGATTCATTTTCTGAACTGCTTACCCTGCTGTGCCCTTCAGAGGCAATCTATTGCCGAATGCATACACATGCTTGTTATGCTGGGGACACACAGGTGCAAAGAGATGCTTGCTGAGCCACTGATATCCCTGATTAGAGATAAGTAGCTGTAACAGCCTGGTGAAATCATAGCTTTGGTGTTGGGTTTTTTTTATTTTAACTAAGTAAAATATTCAATTAAAAACTCGGTTAAAAGACTACATAGATGAATGTGTGTATAAAGTGGCAGGCACAGGTGGGTAACTATTGCACTTAGGTTATTACAGGATATATCTACTTTTGCTGCCTGATGCAACATGACAAGTCATAATGAGTCAGCTTCCAAGCTGAGGTAAATCAGTGAAGCTCCTTTGAAGTGAAGATAGCTATGCCAAATTAAAACAGCAGAGGTTCTGGCCTATTATTCACTGGAAATTGAAAAACAAATGTTTTATATCAGTTAGCAATTTTGGTTCTGTAGAGAAAAGGCCATGATGGGATTTTTCTGGATAATTGTGTTGTCCTACCTATAAAACACAGACACATCTCTGTTACTTTTTGTGCTGAGCTCTTAAGAACAAGAATCAGCGCTATTTTTTCAGTACTGGAGTATGACTGTATTCTCAGTGCCACAGCCCTACTTGCATGTTTCACTGGCATATACTGCCTAGACTGTAATGATGTATGCTTTAACAAAATCATTTAAGTATCAGCAAAATTTCTGAACATGTGAATCATCTATCAAGTTTGGGGTGATCTAATGGAGCAAATTACAGCACAGGGAAAAGAAAACAAAATCTGTAAGAAAAATACTTTCATATTTTTATCAGGAGAAGAGGTAAGAAATGTAATCATTTGTTAGGCTTAGTTTGCTGTTTGTACTCAAAAGTATCTGTGTTAAATCTCATGAGGTCTTCCATTCAGAATGGTAGATGATAGTGTTCCATTCTCCACTGGCTCAAAAAAAAGACTCAAAGTAGTTCGAAAGAAGAAAAGGGATCTATTTGACAAATATGAAGTTGTTAATGAATTGATGACTTGATATTTTATTTGTGTGTGTTTGTATTTGTATATACATAGGTACATACTTACCTATATTTGTATGCACATGTATGTATGCACATAAAAATCTGAATATATAGAGAAATCAGAAAAATCTACTTATATAACATACCATCACTCCCTCGTGATGTTGTGGATCTGACATCTAGTGATCCTTTCCTTCTGTCTTTGTGTCTGCAAGTCTGAATATCTGTAGAGAAAATTATATCGTATAAGGACATTTAGTTGTGCCTAAGATGCATGTTAAAGGAATTGAAACTCAAAGAAAGCCTGATAGCAGCTGAGTGACGTTTACCCCAATGCTTCAGCAGATGAGAGCCAATGAAAGCTCCTTTTAAACTCTTAAACTCTTGCCCAGTTACACTGTCATGAACTCGGTCACGCTCTCTGGCAGAATATGCCTACCACAATTAACAAGCACCTGCAGCACAAGTGCCAAGGATGTCTTAATTGAAGTGTTGAGTGGTATTTCCACCCACATGCAAACACCCCACAATACAGTTAAAAGCAATGCAAACGTCCATGCCACAAGCTATAGACCAGCCACAGCAACACAACAACTACATGGCATCCTTCTTATTTCTAATTCTGTCTCAGGGATCCACTCCCTACAACTGAAATGTGACACTGAATCCAGCAATACCACAATAGCAACTTGGGGCCCTATTACTGCATTTTGAAGGGTGGGTTGCTTTATATCACTTCTAAAACAAATGCGGCTGTTCAGATTGTCCTGTGCAACTGTGGTTTTCAGTCAGATCACTAACAGTGGGCTTTATTCTCTCCCCAGGTACAGGAGGAGGGATGTGTCATACCTGTCTGAGATTCAGCCTGAACACGTTCACATGTCTTCTCCACCTACAAACAAGTATGAGAAATCCAGTTAGTCAGAATTTTCCTATTATTTTGTAATATTTAGGGCTCAAGCTAGAGTAAGCAGAGCACTATTTTCACTTACCTTATTGTTGTCATTGCACAGTCTACTAATTGACACATAGTGTCTAATCTTTCTGTAGGCAAAAAACAGTGTGTTAATTCCCATCCAAATCTCAGCTCTAATTCAGTGCTGATACACAAAATGAGTAAGAGCAACAAATTAATATAGGGCAAATCCTGTTCTAGCAGGAAGGGTCAACTGGGAATGGAAAAAACCCACAGTTCTGCACGTGATGGGGAATACAAAATGGAAGCATCTTTTGCAAAGATTGTCTCCTCCTCTTCCTCTCTGCCCCACACCCAGCTGCTCCTGGGCTGCTGTAAGATGTTTCAGGTAAAACATGCAACACTGCAGTCCAACAATCAAACCTTCTACAGGATTTAGCGGTAGAGCAATCAAATGGAAAACTACATCCTTGATTACCAGGGAACTTTCTAAGCCTCAATAGATTCAATGGGCTTAGAATGTTCCATAAGTAGCAATGTATGTAATACATACTGGTCTTACAAGTTTGGCATCTTAACCTGAAAATGTATTTTCACTCTACTGATGGAGAGTAGAGAACATTAATTACTTCCAGAGATGAAATCAACCCAAACCACTTTCTTTTAGGAAGTAACTGCATGAAGAAGCTGCATTTGGCCTTTCCTTCATGAAGACACACCTTTCTAAACAATCATCTCAGCCAAGTCTAGAAGATAATGTGTGGTGCTTTTAATTAATGTTAGTGTTGCCTTAGAGGGCTTTGAAACTACCACTGCATGCAATCTGATGCACTTTCTTTCCCAATATAGTATAGAAGGACTCATCACAAATGTACCAATAGCTAACATATACATGTGGGTTCCAGATACTGTATTTGGGAACTAAGTAAAAGTTGCATAAAAACCAAGAGATGCTTGAATTTTGACCAGGATCAAAGCACACAGTGTCCTCATGACAGAAAGACGCTCGGCAATGCATGGTACAGGTGCACGGTGGAACAGGACGTAGGTCCTGGTGGTCCCAACACAACGCACAGAAAGAGAGGAGGGTGCACTTGCACTTCAGAGAGTATTAGAAGAGCAACAGTTACAAGTAAGTACATTTGTATCTTTGGCTTCTTTTGGGGGAGAAATAGGAGAATTTCATTTTCCCTGCACACAGCATGTAAAGTTGATTTTGCCCCAGGGAATTAAATGCAGGGGTCTGAAGCTCCCTTCTTGCATAAGTCTCCTTTATACTCAGTAACAGGATAATGCAATGTGTCCTGAAAGCAACTTAACTCTAAACTGAACTTTGATTCAGACCTAAATCATGGCTTTAGCTTTCATACTTACCCTCCCTGTCCGACGACAGGTAGTATCTTCACATTTTGTTGTATGTTTTCTCCATTTTTCTTTTTCGCATAGTACATTCCTTGCCATTCCTGAAAAAAGAATTCAAATGGAAGTTCGTTCAGATATAACAGGAAGAGAACTGTAGCTTCACACCTTCTTTCATTGAAAGCTGTCTTACGATACAAAACCAGTGAGGACTGGCTAAACTGTGCGTACCCTCAAATTTCTCCCCTGAACTAACCTGTATGTCACTGTGTTGCTGCCAATGTATGAAGAAGTTCCAGAAGGGCAGCCTCTGAGTGCCCTGATGGCAAAAGCCAAACTTCAGGTGCTGTGGGAATCAGAACCATATATCTTCTTCCCAATCCTATTCCAGTGGTGTCGGGGACCACTGAGGGAGACCTGGCAAAGACCTCCGCAAGGTTGAGAGCTCGGACCAGCCCCTGCCTGGAGCAAGAGTCCCCTAGAAGCTCCAGAAGTGCCTGTAGATGCTAAGGGGGGGACCCCAGGACCAGGCACTGCATGGTCCGATTGCTGCACTGACCTGCCTGCCTTCCTCCCTGACTGCACAAACTCCTCCCAGGACAGGAAGGTCGGTGAGAAACCATTATGCCGACCTGTCTGCCTTCCCTTCTGGTCTGCACTGTCTCTCCTGCAGAGATGGGAAGCTCTATCACTAGTTAACATTAAATATACCTGTGACTAAAACAGCTTTGATATCCTGGTACATTTGTTTTCCAGTTCAACATCAAAAAGTGACAGAGAATTATTCTGGCTTTTCTAAAGCGAAAGAGAGCCTAGCGGAATAGCTACGGGATGCTGCTTCCCTCTTGCTGACCTCCCCTCTAAAAGCACACTGGTTTCAGAATCACATTTAAGTAGACAATTTTTGAAGTATCATATTGTCACTGCCAGTATCATTGCTTTTTGATAAAATTCATAAACAAGAAAAAAATACAGTGTGGAAAGGAACTTTTCATTTTGCAGTGAGAGGTCTTTATTTTTCCTCTGGAAATGAGACATTTCTTTTTAGTTGCAGAGCCTCATTTTCTCTTTCAATGAGACTCAGAAAACGTCACTTCTCCCTTGTTTAAGACATGCTTTCAAATGAAATACTGTTAAAACAATCATTATTTTTTATTTAGAGATTTTAAAACCAGAAGGCCTCGCCATGGTCTAACACCCAAGCCCCAAACTGTGTCCCGGCAGTGGAAGCTGGGGAGCTCCACGCCGACACAGCTGGACGCACACCCCGGGGCATTGCCCCCTTACCTGCTGCTCCCTCCCGAGCCCCTCACCACACTGCTACAAATGCCACAGCAAAGACATACACCACAAGACATACACTGACAGACCTTCCTGACAGGGCTGTTTAGGAAAACTCAGGGAAAGCAAAATTTGGGAACCCTGGGTCTCCCCCTTTCATTCCTAGCAGCAGCACAGAGGTCAGTAACTTTCCAACAGAGCTGGTCTTTTGTAACCTGGCAGCTGACAAGATTTACAATCTTGCCTACACGTTTCCATCTCTAAAATACTTGTTGGTGGTCTTTTTTAATAGATGCATATTTTGAGCTGGGCATCTAATAAATAGCAAGTGATTAATTGATTCCATACTGCATATTCACTTCATACACACTACCCATGCCAATTGCTGTCTTTCAGCTGAGTTCAACAGACTTCAGATCAGATCTTACAAATGTATGTGAAAATACCTTCCCGAGGCACATGATAGGTATTTATTTATGTCAGACTGACAGATGTCACAGTCAAGCAGGCCAGAGCACAGGTACAGAGAGAACAGTTTTGCATTTCTGTTGATGGAGCCAGCAAATAAAGAGTCCAGCCCGCAGAGAGCTGCACCGTGACAGGCTGTGCAGAAAAAAATATGAAAGGCTTTTCCAAGGATCTGTCGGAGAAAAGAACTGTGCATAACAAATTGGGAAGCGAGCATATTATCTTCTCCTGTGAGCTGCATGAGGAATACAAATGAAGATAAAGCAAACATCACAAAATTCGATGCTCTTGTAATTAGAAGTATGCATATCAATAGTTTCCTGACAACCAGGATGAGGCAGAGATGAGTAATTGATCTCTAACCCAGGTAATAAACCTGGAATATGCACAAAGAGGTGAAGTCATAAGGTACAGAATGGATAATTCTCGCATTGAAAGTGCATCCTTTTCAAGACAGGTTATTCACTAATGTGTTCTTAGGCAACAGATTGATTTTTCAACTTGTGAATTTCTAAAACCTGTGAAACTGTGGCAGGAAATGTGCGAGGGAAAAGGTCAGCAGAATTCTGAGAAATAGGAGGTCCAAGCCAAACTCCTGCTGGTAGGTAAAGTTCTCCCAGGGACGTTACTTAAACATATTTTAAGAACACCATATGTTCTCTCTCAGAGCCTCTGTCAGCAATCCAACAGAGAAGAGCTACTTCAGGAGACGTGCTGTCAGTCAAGCTCATCGTTATGTCTCCATTACAGCCACACAAGTACCAGATCAGTCATTTCTGCACAGCCCGGTGTGCGGGGATCGAATGCAGAGTAAAAACCATGCACAGTAAAAAAACCCAAAACCAATAGGGGATCATCCTTTATAGAATGAATCAATGCTGAGGTTTCAAACTCATTAAGGTGGCCAAAGCATGCATCTGCCCACCAAGCACTCACACATGCATAGTAATGCCCCAATTCAGCCTTCCTTTTCAACTGGGGCTTCTTCCTGGACAGCAAAGTTCAGAAAGCTACTAGTAGGAAACAGAGCAAACCAAAATAAACCCAAGATGTCATGAAAACAATGTCACAGAAAGTAAGGCGGATTTAGGAAGGAATTGCCACAGCCCTTTATCATGGAGCTTGATGGCTCTCCCAGCCCCTCTGTAAAGACAGCTGTCTTGCAAATAGTTCCCAAGGACTGAGAGGAATTGCATGTCACGTCTGATTTACCAATAGCTATCCATCTCGCTTCAGAAAAGGCAAAACTAAGATAAAGAGCTTTGTGTCAAACAGCAGAGATCAGAGGCAGCAAGAATTCTAGGCAGAATTGCACATTTCATCTTAATGGATGCAATTTGAATCATGAAACAGAAGAATGAAGAAAGCACAACTTGTTTTTTAACTCCTCAAGTATGGATGGGTGAAAATGCCTTTGAATAACACTGGCTTCTTGAAAATTACAGCCAGCTGTAGTAACAAAAAATGAACTTCCAGAGGTATGTTTTTTCCTAAGAGAAACAACATCCTGACCCAAGAATCCCTATGTACCATGCAATTAGCAATTTTTGTGTATAATGCCTATGAACTTTTGTTTGGATATATTGAACTTGCTCACAGCACTATGTTTGTCAGCACAATAGGGGAAACGCTGCAAGAGTTCATCTTCCTAAGTTCCATTTAAAAACTGAATGTAGATTTTATACAGTTTATATTTTTCTGAAGATCAGAAAATCTTGCTTTCTATTATTTTTGTTATACTACCATGTTTGTTCAAAACAGAAGAGCCCAACATGTTGATAGGAGAATATCACAGTAGTAGAGAGTTGGCTCTTTTTGTATGCTATAACCTACAGTAGCCAATATACAGCCTATTGTAATGGGAAGCAGGCTTTTAAATTTAGGATATAAAGAAATCACAAGCCTGCAAACAACACACAGAGCATATCAGAATGATCCAGACACAAGTTAGACACCTCTGAAAATGCTTTAACGTCTTGGTACAAATGATTTCAAACTAAAGGATCTTCAAAGACCTGCATCATTTCAAAGGCTGCTCTGCACAGGTAACCTCTACTGGCAAATACTTCCTGTAAGAACTTAATTTGCAATTCATTTTTCTACTAACATGTAAATATAAGGCTACATAGATTGCATACTGTAAAATGTTCCAAAGGGAAATACAAAAAACATGTAAACAGAACATATCCACCTGAAACAGCTTAAGATACTCCAGACAGACAGGTTTAAATAAGTAGTATTTCATTAGCCCTCACAGTCAGAAGTCATAGAGGCAGGAGTAAAGTAAGTGCAAGGAAAGAGATGGATTAGGGTTAGATTTCTATAATTCATAGAGTAAAATATATTTCCATTATTAAAGACATTTTTATCAGCACACTAAAATATTAAAATTTGATCACTTCATATCTTGAGAATTGATGTTGTGGATTTAAAGCCTGACAAGTCTAATGTATCTGAATTATATAACTTAATAAATACTCCCTCATAACATCAGTTTTGTATTATATACATTTACTGAAATAATTTTGGTGAGGCGTGAGAGGTGTGAAGCACCATCATCCAAGCTATTTTCTGTTGCTGAAATGTCTTCCAAGAGGCCAGTACCTGCAGCAATGAGTGACACATTCTTGTTGAAATGCACGTGCAATCCGCACCCAGCCAGAGCGCAGCTTGTGTTGCTGAGTGCTTGTGTTATACCCCGAGTTACACAGTATGACTCATCACAACCTTGCAGCGGTGCTTTCGCATCACTACCTGGATACACAGAGAGCCATGATTCATTCCAGCCTCTCCCTGCTCCGTGTCAATGACATGGCGCTTCCCCACGGACAGTCAGGATGACCCAACCAGCTATCCTGACTCAGGTCTGAGCACGGGCCATGATGCAGCTACGAACACACCAGTTCCCAAATCTCTGTGCAACCTCTTCTGCCTATAAGGCCCTACGACATGTTCAACAACATCAGGAGCATTTACACCTCGCTGTCAAAATGCAGATGAAAGCTCCTAGATGGATCCTCACACTACCTGACAACAGTCCCAGAGGAACATGGTGGAGCTAACAGGCACACAGCAACGTCTCGCTGTAACAACCTCCCTTGAAGCCAGCTGCAATTCCTCATCCACCTCCTTCGTGCAACACACATTTCTAATGGAAACCCATTAGACAGCTCCCGTGTCATTAGAGAATAAAAGATATTGGCAGCTGGCAGCTGACACTGCCTGTCACTCTCAAACAATATTGCAAATGTCACTTCTGATATTTTTACATTCTGAACTTGCAATTCAGCTTCCACATTTCATGATGAAATACTTCAACATGGTTCTTTTCTCATTTACATCACACTGGACAGCACGTATATCTATCCTATTTCTCTTTGGTATTCCTACACCTTTTGCTACCTACAGCATATATTATAAAGAAACACAGCAAGTCATTTCTTTTCACAAAACATGTACTCCTTCCAAGCAAGAAAAGAGAAAGAAGCCCTTAAAAATGAGCATTTTTTACTTCTTCTTCTTCTTCTTGTTTGAGTAAGAAAGCTGCAAACACCATGTGTCTGTGAAGCTGCAAGTTACATTATGTGTCATCCCTGGACAATAATAACTTTTACAGGTAGCAAATGACAAATGACACAATGCCATTACTCACCTTTCCTATCTTTATGCAGGAATTAATAGTATCTAGGAAATCAGCTTTTTTTTCATTTATAGGCACTTCTGTTAATTCCTTTCCTATTAGTTCACCTATTTGATAGCCCATCACTGTTTCAAAAGCAGGATTGACGTACTGTGAAATAAAAACAAACAAAAACCATTCAACAGAATACTTAAAGCACAACAGAATCCCCCCCTTTTTTTTTTCCTATCTGCTAAACCAAGGGACCTCTTTCCCAGGCTGAAACAGATCTCTGTGTGTACTGCTCCTGAGAGAGATGCCTACACTTTTTCCTTTGTGAAGCAAAACAGGAAAGTCCATGCTAGAGGAGTTGTGTAGTGTGTGCATGTGAGCAAAGAGAGGGAAATTATGGAAACAGCTGAGTATTACACACAGAGTTTAGACAGACAACATAAACTCCTGAAAAATGAGCTCTGTCAGCTCTCACACCTATAAACCTCAAACCTACCTCAGCGTTTCTAAAAATCACAAATTAGATGGTGGGATACCAGAGGAATATTTACCTTATCTATTGACAAAAAAGGTATCATATTGTGTGTAAGGGCCAACCATCACTATTCCCCTGCCCGTGCAAAGCCCAGCCAAGCAGACTGGAAGAAGTGGAATCTAATAAAGCAACTTTCTCTCTGAACCAAATGTTGCATTTCACTGCAATCCCGTGGCCTTTGCCTAACAAAACTGAAGACTGGTACCCACAGATCACACCTTCAAAACCTTCTCGCTAACTGACTTATAGACACAGGTCCCATAACAACAGCACCTGAACACCCCACAGCTTGCAATCGTTCAACAGGAGAGAAGTGAAAAGGATGACACTGGATGCTCTCTGCTCCTAAAGGTTCCCCCTCTATGTGATAAATCCCTCCCTGCTGCAGCCCCGGGACTCTTGTGCATGTCAGTTGTCTCATACTCTGGGGCCCTCTGCAGAAGGACAAAATTTGGTCTGAAAAAACGTTTTTAAAACAACTTCAGGATGGGTTCTGTTATTTTTGTACAAGGGATGAAGAAGGCACATCCTTCAATGAAATTGCCCTTGTCAGGATTTGGGTCAAGAGGGTACAATTTATATGCATGTTATAACTCCCAGAGGCTTAGACTCAAGCTCGTTACTGATAAAATCATTCCTCAGAGTCTTCATAGCTGGGGATGGAACTAACTCTCTTATAAAGATGATGTCTTTCCAGACTGCAAACCTAAGCACAGTAACAGTTGGCCCAAGAATCCCCATGTGTCAAACAGTACCAGATTTACACGGGGGGAGGGGGGCATTGGGGTGTGTATATTACCTTTATTTAAACAGAACATCACTTTCATTTGTTTTTCAAGAGCATCAAATTAACATACAATATTTTTGGAAGAGAATGTATACAAGCCAGTGGCTGCATTCATTCATGATATAAAAGAATCATTACAAAAAATAAAATCAAGAGAGTAAATCCTTACCCATTTAGAAACAAGAATCTCCTTTAAAACTGATTGACTCAATTTATGCAAATTCTACTCTACAGCTAAATTCATTCCAGTCTTTTTAGAACCATTAATTTATGTTAGATTCTTGTACTATAAGAAAATCTAATCATGAATGAAATAAAATACAGTCAGTCCACAGAGCAATTTTCTGTACTTATAAAAATAACTGTAACAAACCTGTATTACATGGTCTTCACTTGTGATCTCAATGGCTTCTTGACTTTTCTCTAATGCTGTAAATAATGAATTACATGCCCTGGAGACAAAAAACAAACAAAAAAAAAGCATCTGATTAAATTTAATCCATATAATTCATATTGTATATATCAATAAGGTATTGCAAGTCCATACTGAATAAAATTGTACTTTAACGATTAAAGTATTTTCTTCAGCTAACTGACATTCTATAATTAACTGCACTACAGTAAAAAAAAATACTCTTTTAAGGATGTGGCTGAATTGGCATTGTTTTGTTTATGAAGTTCTTGGTAAAATTACCTTAGTTTGAATTGTGCTCGCACCTCTCCAAATTCCAGCTGAATCAACTCATTGTAACAGGCCATTATATTAGAATTTTCTACATATCTCTGCAAATAAAAGATTAGAAGTATTTCATTAACACACATTTCTGTACTCCAGGCTATGAAGTTCTGTTTTCTTTTGCTTGATAAAGAACAAAAAGAGAAGTATATATGCCAAAAATGAACATTGTAACACAAGCAACATGAGAAAGGTTACTTTTTGGGACTATTAAAATTCTTCAGGTTGCTGCATTTTGAAAAGGTGACAGATCCTCACAGCAATGAGGTTCAACCAATCCGTTTATTCTCTGTGATTGTCAGCACAATCAATATATAAAATAATCTACTTGTAATGGTGTTATATGCTTTGATGCTACTTATTTAAGATAACATTGAAAAAATTACGTTGTGTCTCAAGACACCACAATTTGAGATTATTACGAGTTTCCAATTGCTAATACCCAAAATTCTATGCATAGAAGAAATCAAAATTTCCTTACAAATATACCTGCCATTGGATACAATTATTAATTTGGGGCCTTGTATAACAATGACCTCAGAATCTTTGATTTTTTTTTTAAAAATACCATATTTGCCAGGTACGAGCCTGAAAGTTAAACCTTTGTTCATGCTAAACTGCCACAGACACTGATAGTTTGGGAGGGAGGACAGATCACCAAAGGTAAACCACCGCATCAAGGCTGCTAAACAAAATTTCCTACACTTTGCCATTAGTCCTATCTCCAAGGCTCTGGTCTATAAGTAATTTAGAACCTGTGTTGGATTGCTTATGTGCCTACTGGAATGACTCTGTATGTATAAGAACAGTTATTTTCAGGCTCTAGCATTTCCTGTATTAAGAATTTACTACATATAAGCACATAGGTGCAAATGGATTGTGATGGGATAGCAAAAAATCTGGTGAGCATGCAACCAAATACTTTGAATCACACTGTAAATCATGCACGTTTTTGTTCCATTGTCAGCTTAATGCAACGAGGAATCCATTTAACTGACGCACTAATAAGCACCTTTCCTGCTTAATTGGAATAGTTGCCAAGAAACAGATTCCATGTAATACTTTTCAGGTGCCTCCAAACAATAGATAATAGCACTTGACAGTGTGTGAAGCCTGTTTACAGATGTGAATTGGCGTTTGATAAAAGAGATTTCCCACAGCACATTCTGTTGTTCGTTGGAAGCTGCTCTCTGGCTCTGCTACAGTCACTAGTCAATTTTGTCAATGTCAACTTTTCAAGCAGAGCACCACGTACTTTGAAATAAATGTATAAAGTAGGAAAGTCTCAGCACCACTTCTTGTATTCCTGAGAATGTCCACCTACTTAGCATTATTCCAATTCTACTGGTGTATGGTAATTCAGAACTGGGATATAGTTACATAGAGAGATATATATAAGAATGAGCAGCACAAACAAGATTTATAGGTTGGATTTCTGACACAGTCACTGACAGCAAAACTTCTGGACAGTTTCTTGCACAACAATTTTGGAATGTCCGAACAACCCAGTAGAGTATAAAACATACATACCCTTGTGAAGCCAGCAGCAATCAGGGGCAATATCGATGACTCTTCACGATCAGCATGCCTTTTAAAAAAGGATGATAAAGTCAGAGATTATTTCTGTAACCAACTGAGACAAAATTTCATGAGCTATTGACACACCTGTACCCCAGGTGTCACATCAAAGGCTAATATGGCTAATCCTTATAGGATCTATGAATAAAACATACATTTTGTGGTTTATATAAGCTTTCATCTTTGGTACGGATAAGCCAAAATGTTATTTTCCTTTTTGCTTGTAACAAACTGCTTAAATCACAAAAAACTAATGCTTCAAGAAAGCAAGTTAATTAGCTAGATTGTTGGACTATTCCTTCTTTTTTCAGATTCTTTGTTGTTTATACTGTCCCTAGTCAAAAATGCACTTGAAAGTCTACATGGCCAAAGTTTTATGAAATCACTTGTTATCTGAGTGTACTAAATCTTAGGTGGCCAACTCATGCCTGAATGAGGATGGATTTTCTAGTGTTGCCTACCCAGTGCCTTCTAGTACTCCTAAAATGAGGTATCTGAATAATTTTGAAAAACTTGGCTATATTAACTGTTAAAAGACACTCCAACAAATGTGAATGTATGGCTGGAATCTGGGAGAAAGGACATTGTGTTTTCTGTAAATAAGCTGGTGGAAGCTGGTTAAGTTTAGCAGATGGCACAACAGCTTTTATTTACGTGTAAAATTTTGGATTTTATGGCACCTCTTATTTTTGTTTTCTGTACACTTGTTTCTTATGCGTGAAGAGAATGATGCCTACTGAAGTACGAGGTTTGCCCAAGATTAAGCAGAAAGAGAAAGGCAATTGTCAGAAAAATCTTCCCACTCTTCATGCCAGCTATCTGGTAAGGCTGCCTCCCAGAAGCACAAAGAAAGAGGACAGGCATTCTGCAGGGCAGGGGGGAACCCCAAACAATAAACCAAACTGCAGGAAAATGAAGGAAAAGACCCTCCATATGCTGTTGGCTAAATGTCAGGCTTTTTCACAAATATGCTTCTTGCAGCAAGAAAGGAAATGTGTGAAAGGTCTCTCTCTGTTAAATCCTAAATGGTGACTCGAGAATGCCTGTGTTTAGCACATGGGAACTTGACACAGTCAACTCAGTCCCAGTGGAAGGCAAACTCACTTCCGAAGTTTCCCGTAGCCAAGGATACTAGACACATCTGAAAAGTTTGAGAACTCAGGCTGTTGAGATATTGTCACTGCAGGGGGCTATTATCTTGTCCCAAAACACAATGTGAACATTTTGAAAACACAAAAATGAACTGCAGGGAAAATCCCCCTTCGAGCAACTTCCTAATTGTGAGTCAGCAAGCCCAGCTTCCAAGCTCTCCTCGCTTTTGAGAGGAACTGCTGGCCCACAGAACCACAGGTGTCCTTCTGATGTACGTGAAGAAGCTCCTGAGTTACTGTTTGCTCTTTCACTCCTTTTTTTTTTTTCTTTTCTTTTGTATTAGTTGGATGATAGAGAATTCTGACTGTAGAAGCAACAGTTACCAGTCAGAAGACTTCCTGGCATAAAAACATTAAAGATGATATTCACAAAGAAATCCCTTGAAATGTTTAATTAGGGTCTTTTGTTCACTAGAGATGGTGGTGGAAAACAGGATTTTTAATAGGAAACTTCAACACCTCAGAACTGGTTTTCAGAGTAAATGTTTTCTGAGAAAGGGACATTCCCAAAATTGTACTTTGAGGAAATGATCTTCCATTTATTTCATTTCGCATTAAATATATAGCATTTTTGTTATTTTTACAATATTTTATGACATATCAATAATGTTTTCAGAGGGAGGAGGAGGAAAAAAGCATATGCACTGCTTTATTAAGATGTTGTAATACAGTTTATTTTATTTTTAACATTGCTATGGTTAGATGCTAATTTAAACTGATCATATTGTTCTACATCTTTTTTTTGTAACTCAACAGATCTCCTGTTTGTTCTGAGATTAATCAGACTGAAAGATAGATCAAGAAAGGTACAAAGTGTTATTTTTATTAATACCAAAATACAGATCTGTGAGGCAATTCACAGTTCTGTACACGATGTGTCAGAGGTAATTTGAAACATACTCCTAAAGCCTCCAGTGATCAGGAGAGGGGAAAATGAAACAAAGCAAAACAACAAAATCCAAAGTGAGACCTCTGTAGTAAAAATTAGAAATGAAAAATCTTGTCCCAATCCTGTGGTGAAATGGCAATGAAGGATGAAAGATGGTGAAAACTCTATATGGTATAAATACATTATCACTAGCACAGTAAAAGTTCTAATACAAGTTTGTTAATGTAGTATTTACTTTTCCAATGCTAAGATTTGCCTTTTGTTCATCATGTGAAAGTAAAGATATGAGCATTTACCTTCGTACTACACCAATGATGACTGTATTTTCTGAGGGTTTTGTTGTTCTGATAGACCTTTAAATAAAAAAGCAAGATCATTTAACATTTTTTTAAGTTCACATTACAGAAACCATGACTTTACAGAATCTTCACACAGTACTTTTCTTAAAATGTCTCTTTTAAAGGGTTTAACACCACCACAAAAATAAAATCCCAAGCCTGCTGGACCACTAAGAAAGGAGAATAAATATAGCACTGACACAGACAATGTAGATTAATATAAATTTCAAATACTCTCAGTGGGGAAATAGCAAAAATTCTCCCCTCTGAAGCAACTTGTGTAAAGCACTTGGCCTCACTCACTTAAGCAGCATTTCACTTTATTCTGGCACAGAATGGTAAGAATGTAACAAGGGGATAAGCCCTCATATCTAGTCTTTGCCTGAGAAAGATCTTATCTAGTTTCTTTAGTTTAGGGAGAAGAAGAGCCTTTGTCCTAGTGCCCTGGACCCACCACACTCACTCAGGGAACATAACCTGACCCCACCACCCCCACCCCACAGACTCTTACTTAGTCTAGACACATTCCCAAGGGGTATTTCACTGGAAAGTCACTGGAGCACTGCCTGTCACGTCTCTGTGAAGACTCAGAAAGGCAAATCCTTTTCCCCTTTTTTCATACTTTACAGCCGTTTGTGAAAGTGTTTTTTGGAATCAGTTTGCAACTTTGCTCTTCATAACAGATTTACAAATGTTGTAGGTATGGAAACGTGCACACAAAACATTGCCTATTTGCATCTGGAGTTACTCAACAGCAAGTGGCATGTCAAAAAATTCAGAAAGCTAATGAAGTGAATGTATTCATTAAATTGCTTGGTGGCACATGCGATCTTTGCAGTTAATTTACTGTGCAGACAAGGAACTGGGTATTTGAAAAAAAGCCGAACAGTTCACTATGGCAAGAAATTCATACGCTGTGGCTCCAAACCAGATTGAGCTTCAGATATCCTAGCACACAACCAAATATGCTGCAGCTACCACATCTAAAGCACTGAGATAACATTGTTTGATGCTGCCAGTGGACATCTGTCCAAAAAACCATCAACATTCAACAGATTGTATAAAAGGGTCATGTGAAAGCAAAAAAAACTTGGATGATGTGTTAACTATATAGTTAAGCGTTAGTTACACTGAAATGGTGCTTACCTGCATAACGCTTCTGCATCAAAGTATCTGGAATGTCTGTGGTCAATAATGATAATGTCATGGTGTTTATCAAGAAAACATTCTAGTGCAGACTCAGGTGTCCTGGCAATATTACATCGAAATCCAGCTTTCTCACAAGCCCAACAGAACCCGTTACTCTGGTTATCTTCTTTGGCAAACACTAAAAGTACCTGGGTTAAAAAGACAGTGAATCATTGCAAACATGTCTTACATATACAGCAGATTCTATGACTTCTACCTCTTCTTGTTTTTTAAGGCTACTTCCAAGGCTTAATCCATTATTTTTAACCAAATTGCTTTCTACAGACTGTTGAAACACAGAGGTGTTTCAAGCAGATAAAATAGTCTGCCAGAGCCATTTATATCCACATGGGATGAACAAGTTTGGGAAGTGGTGCTCTCATCACTAGCTACAAAGAGAGCATAGGCAATCAGCTGAGACTAGATGCCTACGTTTCAGACAGTGTACATGAAATAACAGCAAGTCTACTTTTCACTGAAATTGTCTCACATATAAATGTTTTCTTGGGTTTTATTTTTCTTGCCAAGATCGTATTCCAGAAAAAAAAAATATGCCAGGGTTCACCTCATGTGAATTAATATTTAATGGTGCTTCAATGGTGTGATGAAAAAGGTGCTTTCCTTTTTATCCCATTCTAGGTCCCCGAAGTAGTGGATGCAGCCCATTCTGCCGGGTTTCTGGAAACTACAGCCAGGCTGGTTAAGATGAACTCATGGAAGGCTGAAATCATAAGCAGTACCTCTGTATTTCAAGTACATCTCCATGTGACTCCTATGCAAAGCTTGCCATGGAATTTATATCACAGATGGAGACCACCGTGGTTGAAATCCAGAACTGGAAGTCAGATCTATGAGCCAGTATTTGCTGCATCCTAACTTGCTGTGTAATTGCCAATAACATTAATCTCTATGACCCTTTTTCAAATCAATACAATGTCAATACAATGAAAGTATGATAAGGCCCAATTCCTTCTAAAATGTATTTCAAATTCTGTAATTGAATATGGTACAGAAGATAAACAAAGTCTGCTAAGGAAGACTCTCCCTGATGTGAATAGGCTTTGTGTCAGGATATTTTGTAGAACAAAAACTTCTTTTGCCTGAAAGAATAAACAGAATGGCAAACTATAGATCTATGTTAGTATTGATTTTGTGGATGACTCAGTATATGCAGCCTTTTGGGAAAGATGGATAACTAAACCAGCATTTGGTCTATTGTCCCAAGACACCAATCTTTAAGTAATTTAATGAAACCACACTTAGATATATGCTTTGGTCAGCCAATAATGTGGAGCATGTGTAAGTCGCACCCCATCCCACTGCCATTTATCTTCTGGATGATTTTAGGAATTCCAGTGCTGGTTACACTTTGGACCAGGTTGGTGAAATGCCTACCACTAAATCTTAGCATTTCCATGTAGCGCATATTTTTGTAAGAATGAAGGACTTTGTACTCATTTAGTTCAGATTCCTTTTATAGCAAGCTGCAAAACTGGTTGCAAAAACATGTCATAGTTTGGGCTATATTTAGTTAAGTTAATTTATAACACTCTTAAGTGGAAGAATGGTTTTCAGCAATAGCACAGAAACTCTGCAGAGCTGAGTTGTATGATTGACTCTGGCACAAACGTCATGTTGTCTAACTTCTCCTTCCCTCATACCTGCCAGCTATATTACCATGGTAAACTGGGAGAATTTTAGAGTGGCAAATGACTGGACAAAAGCAATACAATTATTAATAGTAATACAGGAGGCAGTAATGTTTAAGGAATGCTTTTGAGTTATATTTGGGAAACAGCTGGATGAGGCTGTCCTAAGATCTGATGTTCGATAGTACTGTCTGTGCTGACAGTAACTCAGGAAGATGTTGAACTGCAGTTCTTGATGACAGACATTTTCAAATTATCGGGTCCAGATTACTTTCACTCTGAAGCTTGTGATTACTGACTAAGGAACTCTTGGATTATTAATGGTTCAGTACGTCTTGGGATACAGAAGAATTTTCAGAGGAAGTCCAAAGAAGTCATGTATCTGCAAGCCTCATACCCATCCCAGACAAAATAATGGGACAATTAACATACAACCTTTATTAAGAAAGAGATAAAGAAGGATGAATTGATTCCAGCCAACAACGAATAACAAAAGACATACTTTGCCAAGCTCACTTCATATCTTTTGTGATGATATTTTAAGTTTGGTTGATGCTAGTAGTAATGCTGGTGCAATAGACCTTGACAGGACATATGGCTTAGTATCATTTTGATGAGACCTTGATTAAGAATTGACTACAAGTAAAATACAAAACAAGGTGCACGCTAAATTCATTACAAGATAACTAATAGCAGAAAACTACAGATAGCTATTTTTATGATGTGATAGAAGTTTGGAGAAAAGAGGCAGGATTTTTAGGATATCACACAGAATGTCATGATAAAAAAAAATCTGTTAGGTGCATGTTATCACTTCACAAAAATGATGTGTGATATCTGTGAAGATCTCTATATCCAAAAAATTCCAGTCATAAATTTTAAGGTAACTTCAGTGATATTTCAGAAATTAAGACTTCAGTTTGAACTGTTGTATTACCTGAAGTTGATCTTGATGAAGTCTCATAGGGCCAAACCGCACATCTGTTACTGGTGCCTAGAAGAAATAAGAAGGGATCTTATTAATACATATACATCTAGGGAAGAAGAAAAATTAGCTCTGTTAGAGAAGACATTTCTTATTTAACACTCTCTCACAGATACATTGCTATCATTATGAGGCTGCTTCTTCATGAAGGCCTATTCTGCTTTTGTAAATTTATATGCTAAGCTGCATTAACACAGTCAGAAATCAACAAGCTATTCTTCAAGTCATTTTTTATTGCAATTTTAAACATAAAGTAATGGATTAGTCATCAAAGTTTGGTAGACAGATTGTTATTTTTCTGTATCTTCTGTATTACTCCAGCTGTTCTGCAAAACATGTGTTTAAAAATTGCTTTTCTTAAAGTCCAAAAAAGCATTAAATCTCCAGGAGAAAGGCAAAAACACATAACTCTGCTCTTAGAATTTCACATGTAACAGGTACCCAAGAGTGCTACAAAGACACACTAATTTCACTTCTCCAAACGCTTTTTGCTGCATTCCCTCCTTCCCGCCCAGCCCCTCCACGGAAGGTTTCATAACTCAGCCACTTGTACTTGACAACACATGTATTCAGCACGCAAATTTTCTTTGAAAAACTCTGCAAAAATGCTGTCATATGTCATGCTTTCTCCATGCCAGCCATTCCCACATTAGATTCTGTTCAACTAACACAGGCAATTTAGTTTAGGACGCACGAACTGAGCTGGATCCTTCCTTTTCATGTCTCACTTCAAGCAATGGAGGTCAATGACCAGATGGGCAGTTTATCACAACTGGTTCTGTTTGATATGATTAATCATTAATCGTGCCTGGACATGAATGACTGTTCAATTGGTATGGGATGGACTTTTTAAAGTAGTTAAACACATAAATACAGAGGGAGATTCTAACAGGATTGCACAGATTAGGTTCTTTGGGAATTCCCACAAGGCAAGTATCCACACTTTTATGAGCTTAAATATTTTTCACTCTTGTCTCAGTAAAGAAAACTAAAAAATGGGAAACAGAGTCCAACAAATGGTCCTTGGAGTTACATAGACTCTTCAAAGGTAACTGGAGTAAAAAAGCAGATGAAAATTATTTTTAGCAATGCAGTAAACAGAAAAGATCTCTGGATTCGTATGTACAAAAAAAAATAATCCATTGAGCAGGAAGGTGGCACTTTTTCATTGTTGTTTTTCAAAGAAAAAACACAGCTGAAGATCAGATTTACTGCTTTGCAGCCTAGAATTTTTCCAATAAGTAATTTTAAAGATTCATCAGCACATTCTATAGAAAAATCTTTTAGAATTACACGCTCTGTTCTTTCTATGACCTTACTGCTCCGTTGCTCAGACCTCAGAGCGCCTCGTGTGTGATTTTATTTATTTATCAACTTGGAAATCATCACTGCAACGTTAAATAAACAAGAAACATGAGTCAAGGAAAAATGGCAACATAGCGCCTGTGAAAACAAGCCAGGAACCAGTGGTTGGCTGTGTTATTTAAGAGGGCCTTTAAAAGCTGATGTTAAAATGACAGGGAAGGAGTTCAGATTTACTCTCAGTCATTCTGGTCAGATTAGCTTAGTTTAAATACTCTCCAGTCAATTTTTTTCTAATTTCAAAACCAAAAAAATCACTTCGGCTGGAAAAAATCAAGCTGCTTTGCTCTCCCTTGTGGTCCATCATCCAATTTATTCAAAATCTGCACTAGAAATAGCAAATACTTGTGCTGATAATGCATACAGCGGGAGGGAATCCAGCTTTTTGCACCAGGGTTACTGGTTTTGCAGCACTGACAGCAGTAACTACTTGTCCTGAATAGGTAAGATGAGCAGAAATCCCTGAAGGAATTTCAGGGAGGGAGCATATCTATTAAGAGATGCCTTTTTACAGTCACTTCTCTGACCATAACCACACTTCAAATTAAATTTTGAAGCATTTCTTTTGTAGACTTCAGCTGCCAGCATAAAGTGGCAAGTGTTGCAGTTCACCAGGAGATGGGCCTGAGCTGCGAGGTTCAGCCCCAGAGCTGACCTTCACTGGTGTTTGGGGGTATGGAAAACCCCATCTATCAGGGTGGCATACCCCTGGTCCCATCCAAGGGGACACAAGAGATAAACCCAGTATTGCCAGTTACTGCTTTCTGGATGCTTCTTACTTTTAAACAGGTTGTGAATGAATAGTCAAAGTATTTAAAGGACCAAGCGTGAAAAACACTCTTCTGCCAGAAATCTGTGGCTTTTTCTACACTGAAAATACCTGTCTATGCACCATTGAAGCTTAAGTTACAAGGACTGCCCAAATGAGATAAACTGTCTTGTTACACGTTAACTTGCTGTCCTCAGTAGAAGAAAAACCCTGGTCTGCATCTCAGCTGGAAAATTTTGGTGAACTCCAGTTAATTCCTAATCCTGTTGAAATCTGGTCAAATAACTTGATTAATCATTTCAACTTTTTGTGCACTGCTAATAGCACTGAGAAGTACCACGCTGATTAAGTACTGTGTCAAAAATCAAGGCTTCAGCAAGGATTAGCAGAAACTCTCAACTATCCATGAACTAAATGAGCTTTAAAAATACCCCTAATGCCGCAAGCTTAGAACAAAACCAAAGCCAGCCAAAGCTCACATGGATAGTAACCGCACATACACAACTTCTGCTACTTCTGCCTTTAAGTTTTGCCCTACTTGAAAAACAGACCCAAGTACATTTTCAGACTGACAGACACGGCTTACACACGTGACAGCTTCCAGGCAGGCACAAACCTGTAAAAAAGCGTACGAGAAGGCAGAGAGGCAGAACTAGTTGTAGGTTCCTGGAATCGACGGAGATAGAGCCGGGTCCCTTGCCAAAGAGCCACTGATGCAAACTTCACGAGAACAGCACGTGTGGCTGCGGCAAGACCCAAGCCCAGGACACGCTGAGCACCCTGACTACGACTTCTTTGGCCAAACAACCTGTAACTTGGGACCAACTCCAACAGATGGTGGGAAGGGGTCCTGCTGCAGATGCCTGACAGCACAGCCTGCTCGCACTGCAGCCCCGCGCCCAAACCACCCCAAGAGTGCAGGCTGGTGCTGGGGCCCGTGGCCTCAAAGGCTCCTAAATGCCAGAATAGTTCGCAACAGTACCTAATTCTCAGGAGTTTGAAAATCTTTTTGACTCATCTGCGCCAGGGCAACTTCCACAATAGCTGCAGATCAGTTCCTCAGGTCCGGGGAGGGAGAGCTGCCTGTAATAGCAGGCTGCAGGGCAGCAACTACTAGTTAGCTTTAATTGCAGGCGGCAGCTCAGTTACTGCAGCAGCAAGTGTTTACAGCCTCTGCCTACAGACACAGCAGATAATCAACTCCAGGCGGCTTCAAATGCTTACACACAGCAACTGCAGCCATTTTACGTTCTCTGACTCGCTTGAACTACTGCTGGGAGCACTTATTTTCCCCAAAATTTGCCTTTCTTATTTGAACAGGGTGCTTTCTGTCCTGTCGAACCAGGCCTGGCCCTGGCACAAAGAGAGATCCGTCCCAAGGCAATGGCATTAGCCACACATATGATAGCTGTCACCAGGGAGGTCTTCTGCTGCCTGCTGAGCGCAGCCTAACGCTGGGTAAAAGCGCTCTGCAGGCTGGAGCTGCTAAGTTGCAAACATTGACATTGCTGATTACTTCATGTTTCCAATGTCCAGAAAAAAAGTGAATGTTTAGTAAATAAAAACAAGTGAAATAAGCTTTATAAAGACAGACCCAAACAACTGTGACGGATCTGATTAAAGTACAACAAACTCAATGTTGACCTGATATAACCTGGTAAAGTACTTCTCGCTATGAGTCATTCTTCATATTTTACCAGAACAGAATCTAGAGGAATGGTCTGTTCATGGTTGCTGGGTTGTTTTTGTTTTTTTTCTTCCTACATCTAGAAAAACTTAAAACGAACTTGCTCAATGAATAAATGTAGAAAGGAATAAAGAGTGGAAATGAAGTCAGCTTGATCCACATGCTCCCTATGGCAATAAACTGCCTGGTTGGCGTGTGGGACACATCAAAGCAGCCCGCAGGTCTCCTATTCGCTAGAGGTCTCCTATCTTGGCTTTCTCCAAAATGCCTCTCTTACCATTACCAATTGCAGAGGAGAACAATCCTCCGAAAAGGGCAGAGTCAGCCCCCAAAAAACCCTTTGACTATGAACTCCCATGCAATACTCCTGCTACGCAGGGGCAAAAACATTCCTTCTGCAGGCTGATTCTCTTAAGTCACTTCTTTTATAAAGCTTTTGTGGGATGTTTTAAAGCAGAGCCCTATGCAGCCCAAGGTACTTCTCATCAGCTGCAGCACCACCCGCTCCAGGGAAGGGCTGGCTGGGGAGCTCTGGGTGTCCTGTGGAGCTCAAGAGCTTGCCTGAAACCCTCCTCCGCAACCCACAACCCCTCCATCACTTCCTTTCTGCCACAGATGGGGCTGCGCGGGTGAAGGAATGACTCTTTGTCTGGGCACGTAATCGCCATGCACAGCCCTGGCCTCCTGCTGGTATCCCTCCTGAAAGGGCAGCTGGAAGCTTTTCTGCTCCTGCTGCTCTTCTCGCCTTTTCCAGGTTCGTTTGCTGGAGGAGATGTGGCAGATTATTTTTCCTGCAACTGACTTGAACAATGAAGTGACAAACTTTTGGTGAATGGATTGCAGATGGGAACTGCTGCTGAATGGCTGACATCCGGGTTTAGAGGGCAGACAATGAGAATTTCTGTTACTAGTTTAACGCTAAGTAACTGCCTCTTCAAATACAGACTTCAACCTCAAGGCTCTGACTCATTATAATATATGAGACAGATAACTACAATGATTAGACATAAGACTTTCTTGCTGGTCCTAATGGACTACTGCAGCAAAATTCATCATTTTACTCAGATCAATATTTTAACACATCACAAAAATGTGTTTTATCTAATCTTAAAATATATACTTAAGTTTTCTACATACACTGGGTACATTATATAAATCAGCCTGAGTTGACTCATTACAGTAAAATTTGAC